CCTCTACAAGCAAAGACGATCTCAATTTTAACAATGGTACTACAAACTTAAATGTTTCAATTTCATAATAATTAAATAACCAAGAACATTGTTATCCAAGAAAATAATATATATCAACACATAGCTTCTTATTGTGGTCTCTGCAAACTCCACATTCTTAATTGTTGAAACAATTCTATGACTCTTAAGATCGATTAGATACTGATAAAATATTCCACAAATGCAGTGTCTTTTTTCACATAATGCAGATGCGTCTTTCCCATTATCTATCAATAAACTTATGTATAATTAATTTGAACACTAGAGGTCCCAACTTCAAATTCCTATCCAAAAGACTAAATGGTTAAATGTTGCATCAAAAATTTCACAGGACCTTCAAAGTGAAGATTCTCATCAACACAAAGGACACAATGGCAATGCAAAATCTGAAATTGTAAGCAACTGGGATAGAAGTTGAACAATTGCCCACAAACTAATAGACGTTATAAGAATCCATATTTGCACCAAAAAGGACTCCACTCTAGAACGTAACCTTTTTTGTTCCTTCTAAAAAGCTCTATAATTAAACACTAAGAAACAAAAAAAAACACACAACAATTTTTTTTATAACTAAGAAAAAAAAAAATGATTACCCATGCCTTTCGGTCAGTCATCGTCGTCGTTATTTTTCTCTCACTCGTTGTGTAGCCAATCGTCGTCACCCTTTCAAACCTTTTTTGTCCGTCGTCGTCTAGTCACCACCTAAGTCCCCAATCCCTTCAGTTTCACGAAAACAGGAAGAACACAAATCAGCTTTTTGTTATCGTGAAATTGTCATGCATTCTAACCACTACCTGATCACCTATCTCAGCCAAGAAGACACCAAAATAGAAGCAACTAAGTTTGGAAAAGAAGCCATACGTACCCTGAGCAGAAGAAAGGAATACGACGGAAGAGAGGAGAAAAACACTTCAGTTTTAAAGAGACGATATGTGTACAATAGAACTCGGGTCAGTCGTTTCAATTTCAGAGAGCAGAGAGAGAGACAGTTACAATAGACACAAATCACTTTTTGGTGTATTTTTTTTTTCAAAGTCAACCTCCTGCAAGTGGCAACCATTCAGTGACTAAACCCTATATTTCAATTTTTATTTCTTAACCATATACCTTCTTCAAAATGGAAATACTAACAAGACTTAACGGAGGTGGGAAAATGTCGTTTGAAACTTAACGGTTGGGAAAGTGTCGTTTCTCCAAACTGGGGGTGAAAAAGTAATTCTCCCATATATAATTGTAATTTTGTGTGAAATAATTAGATGATTGTGATAATTAAGATTATCAAAAAAGTCTAAACATGAAAAGAAACTAAGGAGTGACATAGTTGGATAAATGAATCTAATTAATCAAATTAGAACCAAATTAAGCAAATTAAACCTTTGAGCCAATGATTAATTGATTGGGTTTCAAAGGGGAGCATATAGAAAGAATGAAAAGGCATTGATTTATAAACATCAATCAAATTCAACACCCTTAAAAGGATCTGGTTCCACTACACGAAGAGTGTTAGGAGGTTAATAATTTATTCACTGATTTATTTTATCTAATTATACACTAATCACAACCCCAAAACTTCCCTACATGCATTAATCAGACCCAAAATTTTTAAATTGTACGAGAACATGATTATAGATGTTATTAGGTCGTTGAAGGTAACGTTACTCTAATACTGTTAGGTTATTTTTAACAGTATTTTTACTTAAATATTTACTTTTGACCCAATTAAATAGATGGATGCCCCCAATGGGTGCATATAAAGAGATCGAACTTTGAAGTTTGAAAGGCTTTTAACTAGCCATAAAAGCATGAAAGGTTCTATAAGAGGGGGGTCCACGTGTACCTGACCACAAAAGTATAAAGGACCCACAATGAAAGAAAGAAATTAGGAGTACACAATAGTATGCATGTAAAGTTTCTATCATAGATAGGTGCAAAGCACATGCACATGCAAGCTTATGAGGGTCACCACACACGTGCAAATCTGTAAAATAGAGAATAACTTTACAGAAACCCAAACCCAAAAACCCTTATCTTCTTTGTTCCTTTTTCTCTTCAAATTCAATTTTCTTTTCTTTCTTTCTCGGGAACAAAACAATCTCTCTTTATGCAAATTCTTATCTGCCCATTTTCATTCTTTGTTCCATTTTCTCTACCAAAACAAAAACACGATGAGGAAACAAAACATTCATAGTATAAGGACAAGCATTATTATTTTATAAGCCAATTTTTGTGTATTCATGTGCCGTGACATGTTTCCCCAGGATTAACTTGATGTTTTAAAAAAAAATCGGAAGGATTTATAACTTGTATCAATTAAGATTGAAAATGTTGGTTAACCAGATTGAAAATCGAGTTCTCATCAAAATAATTCGTATCTCAAATCAGTAAGAGATTGAAAAACTATATGTGCTGCTAAATGCCGTAGGACATAAAACATGAAAGGTGAAGGTTATAATTGATAATTGAACACAAGAAAACGTTGCCATTATTAGGGACAAAGGAGGAGTGATGCTGTATGAGGGGGAAAAGGAAAAGTCTTATGATTAATAAGGTTGAATTGAGTGGTTCAAAGTGGCTTTCTTGTGCTACAAGTACATAGTAGAATTCAGGGGGTGGGGAGTCAAAAAGATATGAGGCTGTCGGCCCATTCCTATCCCCATGCTCACCACACCATGTTTACTTGGATGGAACCCCCATTCTACCTTTTCAAAATTCCAACACCTGCCCACTCACTAGAATACTTAAAATGTTCACACTCACTCTCTACCTAATTTACACAAAAATTAATCACCCACAAGAGAAATTTGATGTCATACATGTTAGATTAGTTATCATATTAAAATTTTAGTTTCGGTTTCAAATTAATAAAGTTCTCATCTAATATGATCAATGATGACAGCTTAAATTGCATTTACTATTAAATCGAATGCTTTTAGGAGATTTAGGTCAATTGTTCTACCTGTCACGCCTCATTCATACCACTATGTTTTCCTTTCTTCTTTTTAGTCGGTGATTCTTTCTTCTTGGACAGAATAAGGTGTAAATTCGCACCCCACTTAAAATATTTGAAACTAAAAGGCCTAGAAAATTTAATCAAGAATCTAGATATATGATTTGTGGTGAGGGGTTGACCATCACAATTTGGTAGGGCTTGTGACCCAAGGAAGGTGCATGCATGAATCAACATATGGAAGCTAATCTTTAATGTCAAAAGTTTTGCTGTGTTATTCCATAGCAAGTGAGTAAGTTTTGTATCTTTTTCTTCTTTAAATTAAGAGATCATAATTCTAATTCAATTAATTAAGATGTTAATTTAAAAGGAATAGTGTCACTCATTATAAGCTCAATCAATTTGGTTTATTCATAGAGTTGGGATTGTCTTTAGATCTAATATCTATAAATTTTAAATCCATAAATTAAAACTTGAAAAGATATGCACATTGAACTTGACCCACCAAACAACTACTTTCAAATCAATTCTATAAGTATATATTCTTTTGAGACCAAATTTTGCTCTTAATTTTGGTGCCTTTTATATTAATAAATAATAAATCAGCCATTTGTAAGCAAAGGCTCTCCTCTTATTGGGCTTGATCAATGTTGTTAATTGGCTCATTTCTAGATTATCAAACTAATTATCAATTAACTACCAAAATTTAGATTAAAAGTGAATGTAAAAATCCGAACGATTTCAAAAACTATTAAACACCCTCTTAAAACATGAAAAATATCCAAGTTTAATAGTTAAAATGAGTTATAAACTCAAAGCCTTAATACCCATCCATTTTACAACAGATACAAAATATCTCAATCATACCCTAAAATATATTGGTTTATTAGTTAAACAAAACCAGAAAAAGAAAAGCTTCTGATAGCCCCACCTTAACTAGAAATTACATTATAATTAACTTAGCTTAATTTAATTTAATTAATTGTATCTAAATGGGGACCAAGCTGTGAGATTAATTCACATGCATCGAAAGTGGATAGTTTAAACACCAAAACTTTGGTTGACACAATGTAACTTGCTGCAAGGTGACTCAAAATCTCGAGCTGTGATCACACTAACACACACTATATATAAAACATTATAAAGCCAACAGACCACATGTCAGATGCTTGGTATGCCCTGAACCTAATAGGGCTTCGAGGCTTATCTATAGCCACCGTTGAAACCTGCAAAGAACATTGTAAATTTGGAACATGAAAATAATCAGTTTCTGAAACCCAGACTGGCCGGCCGGTTAGAAGGACCCGGCAGCCTCTCCGGTCCATTCAGGTCCAGAGGGGTTTCCGTTATATTTCAAACTTGGAGGGGCTATTGTATTTTCAGGGGTTTCTGCTAGATTTACTTTAGGGATTAATTTTTTGGGTTTTTTGCAAATATTAAAATTCAGTGACTAATTTGAAATTTAGAGTATTTTTGTAATAATAATATTCAGAGACTAGATTGCAGTTTTTAAAATTATTTTATTGCTAACTCACAATCCGCGGCAACCCCGTGAACTGGGCCCTTGACAGGGTCAAGGCCGATCCGCTTACAAAACTTTGAAAATAATACTAATTTAATGAAGAATTGTGATACTAATTTAATTACTAAATCATAAGAATATCTTCCATAATGAGCACCACCCATTCTGGCTAAATTAAAATCATAATCTTCCAATTTCGTCCTTGGTATTTATCAGCACATTGTCGGGTTTAAGATCTCGGTGAAGGATATCATGGAGATGTAAATATGAGACACTCCAAAATTTAAGCAAAAACTTCTGCAAAAAAAATTGTTAATAATTAGTACACTTTCTACTAAAATGTGCTAAAAAATTAACAAAATCTAAATATGATAGAAATAATCTAAGTAACAACTTACTTTCATAAAAGATTAAACTTCTTATGTGTTATATCTAACGTATTTGCGGCTCTGGTGGTAAGATATGGTAAACATTCTCAAGCTCCTCATTCAATGCATTCAAGAAGGCCCCAGGCTGGTATTCAAAGAGTCCATCACCAAATGCACTTTTTTATATAAAAAAGCATCCCGAAACCTTTTTCAATATAAGAAAGATGCACCAACAAGTAAATGTTACAAGAGACATCCTAATTTATGATTCTAAAATAATAATATAAATTAAATATTTTTAAATCAAAACAATATTAATGTATAATATCACAACAAACCAATTGCAAAAGAGTTACCTAACCAAGTTTCATGTTCCAAGTCTTTCATAAGAGAAATTTTCTTAAGCAAGGCTTGATAGGGAAGAATATCTCCAACTACAAATTTCTTCACTACCACCTCATCACTGGTTTCCATGTCAGTATACCTGAAAACGAAGATTGGCTAGTCTTGCTATCTTCAATAGTTTCTTGTATCGATCTTAACATCCACATGAAAAAAAATCAGTAAAGATTTTTTTAACAAAAAAAAAAAAAAAAAAAAAAAAAGACTCTACTAAATAAAAGTTTTATAAACCAGTTTTCTACCTTCGGTAAGTTGGCCATTCGAGCAAGTGAATTTGTTACTGGTACCTCCTCTAGATTGGCCATTTCAACAACTGAAACATCTCACCACTCAATATCAAATCAGAAAATCATGGAGGAACAACTTGACAAAACAAGTATCATACAGAAATAATCAAGGAGGGGAACTCCCCTTCAAGCAAGCAACTTGGACAGGCCCAAGAGTTCAACATCTAAAAAAAAACGCCAAAAATACTAGGATGTACAATACTATCACAAACAAAAAACTAGGCCTTTGAAAACTAAGCTCTAAGCTATACAAAAAAGACAACAGGCCCATTAAAATTTCTCAAATCCACATCTGGCCCAGAATAAGGAAGGCCATCCCCGGAGGCCCACGTGTCCAGGCGAGAGCCCAAAGCAACGACCCCCACCATTGCTGAGCCCTGACAGCCCAGTCTTTGCTGCTCCTTTTTCATTCTGCCCAAATGAGCCCAGCAGAGGGGATAAGCCATGGCCCAAGAAAAATTCTCAACATATTCAGGATGAATTGGGCCCATTAAGCAACGGAGCAAACAAAAAGCAAGCCCACGGGGACTCCCTTATACACCCTGCCAAGGCCCGCCAGTATGCTCTCTACCCGTCCATCCACTCAACGCCCTCCACTCCCGTAACCCTTTTCTCTACCTCATCAAGGCCCAACCAAGTATACCTGGGTGCTCCGACTTAGAAGAACAGTCGAGACCCAAATGCACATTGCTGCTGAATGGCCTCGCTCACCGATTGCAGCACAGTCCTTAGCTCTTGCCGTCCTACAGGTTCCTTCTCTGCCGCGGTCTTGCGCCGCAACGCACGGACCAATCATACATAATAAGAACACAAGAAGAAACGGTTCAGCAAATCAAAAAGGGGTCCAAGCGATGATTGAAAGCCCAATGGAAAGATCTTTTTGACAGCGCGGTTAAAATGCCAATCAAGCTTACAAAATGGACTTCACGATCGAAAAACATTTCTGCCCAACCAAACATTCCGAGCCCAAGGGTGGTTTTGAGGTAAACAAAATCAGAATTTGTTTATTATCGTAAAAGCAATCCAATACACTTCAGTATCCTAAAAAGAGTATAGCATTTTCTTAAATTTCACTAAGATTTCCTGCACTTTCTCACAACCAAACAAAGCTTCAATGCCAAAAAAAAAAAAAAAAAAAAAAAAAAAAAAAACTGAAAACCTAATATTATCCAACTAAAAAACAAGAGAGAGATTATATGAAGTTTCACAACAAATAGGTTACACCAAAATCAATGTAATTATAACAAATTTATTCATCGAGAGGAAAAAAATTATACTAAAAATCGAGATAAAACAAGATGAACCTAAAGAAAAAAGTGATTCCGAAAATTAAAAAAAACATAAGAGCTTGAAAAGAGTCTTTGCAAACCTGAAACGAGGAAAACAATGCCCATTTAGGGACTTTAGTAATACTAATTTGTACACTCAAACATCTATAAAAGAAACTGTAGTAACACATATTTTGACTATGCTTCACACACTCGACAATCACTAAAGGCTGTTTGATTTCATTACCTTCTTTTCCTCGGCTGGAGGGGCCACTGGCACGTGCAGTCAGGGCAGAAACAGCAGCAGCAGCACCACCAGCATATACAACATTCAAAATAATGTCATTGAGGTTTTGCTTCCCAGCAAGTGAAGCAAATAAGGGAGGCCAGTATGATTCAACCTCAACGTTGGCTGCTTTCACCAGTTGTACAATCTTCTCTACCTTTGAAAATTATCATCAAGAAAAAACCAAAACAAAAACAAAACTTTTGAAAACAAAATTTACAACACATTCTTATATATATAAAAATTGTTTTAAAGTATATTATGAATACATTTTATAAAGTCGAGAAACTCAGAATGAAAGAAATTAAATATTGCAATATTAAATCAAAAACACACTGCAGCAAATGTGGAGTAAGGATACAGTGATGGGGATGCCATCATCAATGAGGATCGTGCAAGCATAACTGCAACCAAGCTCCGAAACCGACACTACTAATGAAAAAACAACTCGCTCAGACAACTGTATATCTAAGTAAGCAGCTTTGAGGCATGGGTGCGTAATGTGTATTTAATGAAAATTTTATGGATACGAAGCTTAGAAGAAAGTGCATTGACAAGGAATAATGTTGAATCACAATAGGACATACCAGTAAGGTTTACTAATTATTGTCCTTTTTGGGGGAAAAAAAAAAAGCATGGATTTTTTTTTCTCATATTATGTGAGCACTGAATCAAGTTTTAAGGGGCATACCGCTTTCCTTCTTGTCCTCGATTAATGTCACCCTTGCACTTGAGTCCATAGATGCAGAAAGTAAAGCCCTGAATTTAAACATCACATTCTTCCTATCAATTTTATTTTAAGACAAAATATTGCAATTTAAAAGCTATTAAAAGATATCTCCAGTATGAATACATCAGCCCAGACCTTGAATCATCAGAGAATGCCAAAGCTGTCACAAAGCCAAGGTGTGCTTTTCTAACCATTGTCTGAACCTGCATATTGCTTGAATTTATAATTGCAATGTCTCCTTTATCTGTTCCTCTGCAGGTCAACCAATCACAAGGTAAGAAGATAAAGGTTCTCATGAAAAGTGTGCACAAATGTCTTCACGCAGTTAAAGCTAGCAAAAGTTAACAATTATACATTGCAAGGAGCTTGCTATCGGCTGAAACATTGAAGGAAGTAACAGACTGATGGACAACTTGCTTTGAGCGTATCCTCTTCCATGAGGTTGTATTCCATGTCAAAATACTTCCACCCGTGTCTATGTAAAAATAAAGTCAATGATGGTTAGCTCATAAAACAGTGAAGTTGGTAACGGCATTTTTACCCAAAAAAAAAAAAAAAAGGCTGATGGCTCCTGAATACTGAAAATTCACCTGTTATTGCAGCAATGAAAAGAACATAATTCTCATCACTAGATAGAGCGGATCTACAGGAGAAAAAAACCTCATCCTGGATGAATTTAAAAATGGATGTAGTTAATTTTGAGATCATGTGAAAGAGAATCAACTCTCATAAACAAAAATAAAGGCAAAACAAGAGAAGGCTTGAAGATTTTCCTAAAAAAGAATCTTTCTATTCTGTAAGGGTGAAGTAAAGATAAGTTCATGATTTGCTTCTTGCATGATCTGCTTCTGGCTGTTGTTTTTTAAGAAAAAAAACATAACAGTGAAGAACATTATGCACCACATGCATTACCAACAATTTCATTAGATCTCCTCAACATAAGGCAGCTTCATTAAATTGACCAAGATTGAGCTAGGCCACCAAAAGCTAGGAAAACAAATGGTTTATACAATATATTTAAATGACTCATTGCTTACATTTTCCGTTGGTAGAGAAGCTACAATAGACGCAGAGGTTATATCCCAAACCCTACCAGGGCCACGCTTTCCCAAGGAGACAAGAAATTTTCCATCAGGGCTGTAAGAGAACGAAGCCAAACCTTCAGTGAACTAGATAAACAACAACAAAACAGTGAATTCATTTTCTTTTCATTCAGCTTGCAGGTTAAGGCATCAACACTCTAGTTAATTCCATCACTAGTACAAACCTGAAAGTTAAGTCCTTGACAGAAGTATGAGCTTCAGACTCATTTAGAACAATTTCCAAGCTAGGCCATTTTAAAACCCGTAATTTTCCATCCTGCACTGCACCAAAATGTAAGCATAATACACCGTGCTCTTTTGTTTGAAAAAGACCACAGTATGGTCTTACTTATCATTTCACCACACCATAACTGAAGCCAAAACTATAGAATGCATTTAGATAATCATTAAGATCCAGGTGCCACATATTTGGGGTTTCAATTAATAGGTGGATATTCGTATCTGGAGCATAGCTTACCCCAATAAACAACAGAAAAAACCTTCCTAATAGAAAGAACAACAGCAGAAATTTGAGGCAGAAATATTCCAAGGCTCTTGGGTGTGTACCTACCCTATGCAGTAGAAAAGGTTGAAGCATAACCAAAACAATGAAAGGGAAAAAAAAAAAAAAAAAAAAAAGGGACACCGTCATGTCCATGCAGCAATTGTATTTCAAAAGAAAGGGGGTAGGATCTCTACCTCACCACCAGCAGCAAGAGTAGAACCCTCGTTTTTTAACTCGCTGAGCACTTTCTCTGAACCTTTTACACCCAGTTTATGGACTTCGTCACTCTCCTCTTCGTCCCACTCAAACAATCCGCACAAGTAAAGTAAAATAATGAATCAAATTATCAATTCTCATTGAGGCCTTAATATACTAGCAAAATATCATTTAACCATAACAACATAACAAGATTATTAGTATCTAGAAATCCAAGTAGGTGGCTAATCACTAAGAAAATATAAATCAAAACAGTAGTTACTCAACAAATCAGAAATGTAATTTTCAGAATGTCACTCTGGTCTTTTGATATTATTCCAGTCAAACGGTGAAAGCAATTGCTGAAATTAAAAGATAAAACCAAATTAAAATAAGATGGAAACCTGCAACTATTTTGCATTGCACAAATAATGCCATCTCCACGTGGATGAACTGCCATTCGATACGGCAAATCTGAATCAGTTATAAACTTAGCCACCTGAAGCAGAAGAAAATAAAATCATCAAAGGTCGATGAATAACCTAATTCATTATTTTAACCATGTAGATTCGTCAGATAAATCTCAACATATTCTCTTAACTGATATATAATCAAAATATAACATCAAAAAATTTAATAACTCATACCAACAGCTCAAATATGCAAAACCGACAAATTTTTTAGCCTACACACTATACTCAGCTAAGCTAAACTTTGAGAAAAGCTTTTGAGTATTGAATTTTGATTCATTACCTCAAAATGCATTGAATTAACATTAACATTAGGAATTGAGATAATTAGTTACAGGTTGATCGGAGAGGGAATTGGAGGCGAAATCGAAGCAAGATAAGACGACAGCGTTGGGGATACCACTGTTGCCTTCGCCGCCACCGCCGACCAAAACGACGTAGTAGTGATTGGTGGAGATTGCGTCAGATTTGTAGGCGGTTGGAGCTTCGTCTTCGGATCCATCCTGTTCATGTTTTTGTTCTTTCGATTGGAGCTTAGATCTAATGCGATTGTACGGAACCCAGGCAGCTCCGTAAAACAGCACGCCGTATTGCTGTAAAGCGTTAGATTCCATGACGCTTCTTCTTCTTCTTCTTCTTTCGCAGTCTCTCTTCTCATCCAACACTCGCCAGAGTTTTTCCACGTAAAATATGCTGCAGATGTTACGAAAATACTTTTTAGAAAATGTCATTTATCACCCTCGTGTTTTAAAAATGTATAAAGACTAAAGACTAAAGAGTATGTTGATATCCTTTTGGGAAAATATCATGTATCGCCCTATGGCTTTAATATCTCACTTCAACATACTTATTTTGGGAAACTATCAAAAACTTTCCCTAAATTTGTGAAAGGATTAATAACACTTACACCCGGAAAAGTTCTGAAACAGCCGCTTACACTTGATAGTTTTCATTGTGACAAGGGGTATTATGGTTATAAGTCATTTGTAAGTAAGGGTAAAATGATCCACTGACATTTTGCACAGGAAATCAAAATTTAAAATTGCAATATGAGGAATCATAGGGCTGGAGTGATGACATGTGGCCAAGGAAGTTGACCTAGGGGGAAAAGAAAAGCAAAAGTCATTTTGCAAATCTTGGAAGAGTCGACTGTTCGGTTTTCGTCTACCAATGGTCGGCTGGATTCTTGCGATTTTCATGGCTACTGGTGATTGTTAACAGCGATTTACACTTATGGGTTGGATTGGTTGTTGGCGATTATCCTGTTTAGGGTTCATTCATGGTGTTGACGATTAGTGGTGTTATCGCGGAGTTTTTCCAGCGAATGACAAGTTTGATAGGCGACTTCGAGTGACGACTGACTCGAGACTTCTAAGTTGCTTCATCGTTGACACATGCAACAAAGTCGTCATTGTTGAGACTTCTGAGGTCGGTGTTATTCTTCGGTCTTGGGAATATCATTTGTTCAGCTTTTACGTTTTTATGGTGAGGCATGCAACAAAGTCGCCATGTTTTGGGAAGGATTAAAGACAGATAATTATTGGTTTTCACGATATGAAATGGCAAAAAATTATTATTATTTCTTTTAAAATAATGGATTTCACATGAAGTTTTCTTATTTTATTAGTTTTTGTTATTGATTTTGGTTGTGGGTCTATTTTAGTAATAGTTACAAATGTCTCCTATAGTTTGTGGGAAATTGATTTTTATTTTATTTTATTTATTTGTTGTTTTTTAACCGTGAAGGATCCAATATGAATATTTAAAAATATATGATTTTGACGACACATTTTTTGTTCATTTTCTTTATGTGTTAAAAGTTTTTGTTTTGTCAGTTGCTGTGAACCAAGTAAAAGACGTTGAAATATCGAAAAAAAAGTTCCCTAATCTCTTTCTTTTTTAAAAGAAATGCTCATGAACTTTCCATGTTGTTTTCCTCAATAATTATGGCTTCTCATCATGCCCAGAACCTTCATCAGTGTTGACTTTGGATTCTAGTAGCTGATGATTGATTATGCAATTTATATGTATAGTTTTTAGAAAGTATTTTTATTACTGGTCTGCTGGTGGAAGTGGTTAGAAAACTGGTTATGTATGTTTCTGTGAGGAAGAGAATAATTGGTAATTGACATTAAATTTACACTGCTATATGTGGTATGGTTGATGATTTGGTTGTTATTTTTTCCTGCAGGTGGGTTAGAAAACATAGTTAGAAGAGACAAGAATCGTCTATGAGTGAAATTTCTTCGCATCCTAATAATGTGGGTATCTCATGCTTTGATTGTTGTTGTGTTGTTGTACCCTTTTTTAAGCATTTGTAAACTTTTTGCATGAATGCATAAATTTAGGGATTGAATTCATGGTTTTAATGTTCTGCTGCATGAGGTTGGATTGTTGTTTGTTGACATTTTAACTGCCCATTTTAGCTATGGTTCATATTTACTTTACATTTCACTGAGAATCACATGTTTGAATTGTTGTGGTTATTTTTTTTTTTTTTTTCACTAATTACAAAGCATAAGTTTTGATCACTATGTTGTTTGCTACTTTAATAGATGGGGAGAACGACATGCACCCACCCAAGGTTTGCTGTAAAGACAATTTGATACCCAAATAGTTTGAAAACGACAAACAAGTACTTTTCATCATTCTTAGTTAGGAATTTATGTCTGTTAAAGGGTACGCTTTTGGAAAAGACTAGATTGCCCTTCAAAGGTTGCCACATCAGTTAATGAATTTTTTTTTCTTTTCCATCGTTATGATTTTCTTTTTCTTTTTCTTTTTCTTCTTCTCCATAGCTCAGTGTTTGATGGAATAGATTGACGAAATCGCTTTTTTTTCCCTTCTTCTCCAGCGTTTTGAAATCTTCATTAATTGATGAGATTTCATTACAAAATCCATTCAAATGCTGACAAACCAAACCTTAACCCAGACCACCAAAACCATAGAGTTTGACACGCCGCCATGCCAAATCTTCATTGGCTTGACGCCGTCACGCCTCTCTAGACGCCGAATCGCCGACGTTGTGATCCCCTGAATGTTTTCTCTCTGACACTTGGTGACGTTTTGCTCCCCCCTTTTCCAATTGCCGGCTTCATTGATAATGGTTTTGTGTCTTTTGATTGGGTGGATGGTTGGTCTTTTTGTTTTGTCTTAGGGGTTTCTTGGTGGAATTTCGAGTGTTTGGGGTGGGTGCTGATTTTATTTCTTACGTATGGTCAGATGTGTGTTGGTGTGTCTAGTTTGGCTTGTTTTGGTGGGTGGGTGTTGTGGGGTATGGGCACTTGGGCATTTCTGCATGTATGTTCTGGTTTATAATGATTGCAGAATTTGTGATTTTGTTGGATTGATGGTGGGTTGGAGTATGCCGTTGTTGTGGGGGACTTGGAGTGCTTTGGGGAATTGAAAGCTGGACTTGATGTGTGTGGGACCGTATGTTGCTGATTGTTGTTTTGCTGTTTGGTTGTGGTTCTTGGATGCTTTTGCTGCTGGTTTTTTTTGCTACTGCTAGGTTGCATTTTCCTTGCTTTCTGCTGCTGATTTCCTGCTCAAGGTGCTTTGCAAAAGCTGGTTGTTTGGGCTGGGATATTTTTGTTTGGTTTTTCTATTTGGTCATAGTTCCTGAAACTTTAGCCGCTGGTTTTTTCGCTACTGCTAGGCTGCATCCTTTTTGTTTTCTGCTGATGATTTTCTGCTCAGAGTGCTGTGCAAAAGCTAGTTGCTTGGGCTGGTTGTTTTTTTGCAAGTTTTTGTAAGGCACCCATGCCACTTTTTTGGTTCAAGTTTGGGATGTGTTGTTTAGGATTGTACATCCTAGCCTTATTTTTCTTTTGCGCTTCTTTGACTCATGTGTTTTTGTGCGTGAGCCGTAGTGCTAGAGGATTTATCCTCGTTTAGGTTCAATCATTATTCAGTATACAATTCAATTCAATTGCTCAGTTATTCAATTCAATTCAATAATTCTTTATAAAAAAATTATTATATTCAATTATTTGAAGAAACTTAATGACATTCTTAGACAAATCTTATCACAATATGATAAACTTAGCATGGTCCACACACACAAGAGAGAAAACTTGTCCCTGTATTGATAGCAAAGGTTCAAACTTCAAATTGAAAATATACAAAGAATGCAAGTTGAAACTTTTTGTATTGACATTCCTAATGATTTAAAAGAAGTTGTTCATACAAAAGAACTTGAAGTTTGTAATGACAGAAAATCTGAGTTACAAGTGACATAAAATATGAATTCAATACAATAAAATTAGTTTATACTTTATAATGAAGAAATACAAAAAAAATGTAGAAGCAATTAACAAGATGCTTCTGTTAGCATCTCGAAAAAGTTGCGCAAATCTTCAAGAGCATGGTATTTGTGAAGTTTATATCTTCCAAAATTCAATTGCTCTTCAAAAATCTTGAACAACATATTAAGAGAGCACCATCTGGAGGTAGCTCCTCACAAAGTGTGGCCAAAACCTGCCAAGAAAAAGCACTAGGATTGGTAATTTTTAACAAGTGCTACACAAGTGTTACACAAAGAACAGTGTGCTCAATTTTCATACCACAAATCTACATGTAATTTAAACCAAACTCATCTCATGCAATCTTGGCCTTTGTCAAATTAGTGGTTGTACATTCAATGAACAAACTCTTGGTCTTTAGAGTGATCGCCGAATGAGCACCATTAATAATTGGTGGTAAAATGAGAATGCTTTATTTCATAGTAAGGCAGTATCTTTTCTTAGCACCAGTAGTTTTTCTAACCTAATTCAAACTCACACCTCAGTTCACTAAAAGCTCAAGTCAGGCTAGATTTTGGTCAGGTTCATACATCCTAGTTGCAAACCCCACAATTATTCACAAAATTCTTATATCACCTTTATAGCACCTCATTTAACTTGCAAACATTAAGCCCAAAATACATTCGTGAAAAATGAATAAAACACATGGTGTTATATGATTCATCACCATGCTGGCACATAAAATGTTAATTAACACCAAGGCAATCCCTCTTTCTAAATTTTCACCAACAACTAATTTCACCAACCTCCCTAATAATCTTGAACTATAACTTTAAAGTCAAAATGTGACCAGTGAAATCTGATTATAGAAAAAAAATTTCGATGCGTTCAGGAATCGACATTGGTATGTAAATGATCTAATAAGTCAACGAATTGATCTTCATTCTTTTAATTAACAAAAAAATCACCTGGCCTTAGAGCTTCGCTTCACTGTCCACTTTTGATCTCTACCACTTCCAAATCCTGTGAACCAAACACAAACTGACTTAGTACTGCACTAAAGTATGAAAAACCAAAAACAACAAGAAGTCTTTCACAGTACTCTCACTCGGAAATTTTTTTTCGCAAAACCCTACACACATACACACCATCTACGACAACCAAGAACAACAAATAAAGAGGTTTAAGAGGTTATTTAAACCTCTACTTCCATCTCACAGTTATTTAAGAGGTTTAAACTACTCTAATTCAAACTCCATTCTACGTCCATACTCAAGAAAGTGGAAGTTGAAGGGAGTAGAGATTGAAGGTCTCTATTGTCTACTCTTTAGTTGGCAGCAGTTTTGATGCTTTTGTCTACAATTTAGATGTGAAATAGTGTTTTTTTTGGATCAAATTAATCAAAGTGTTCATTTTCTTCCCCAACCAAATCTAATCTAATCTAATCAAATGGGAGGTAGTCGCTACCATGGACTTGAGTGGAGTTGAGAACATTGATGCCTTATCAACTCTTTTATTATTTCTTTTCATCATATCATAATTTACTATAATGTTATTGCCTCTGAGAGTAAGATTCCACTGTGATCCATATTTACGTTTATATATTTATATATACTCAAAAATTTCGTAGTATATAACATTGTTGGCTATTATTTTTTGTAACCAAAAGCAAATTATAAATGCAAGTAGAATCCAAAACTTGTTCCGATTAATGTATAATAGCAATCTGAATCTTATGAAGTTATTGTTCCAATACAATGCTAACTTCACTATCTTCGTGATATTTAAATTATAAGTAAATTACTTATATATATAAATTTTATTATTATATCATTTTTCATTATTTGTAAAGGAAGGCTAGTTAACATATTTTAACTAAATATCAAAAAAGAATCCCTCACCTCAGGTATCAGAGCAGTGCCAAAACGAGTAATGTGAGTTGGATAGACACAGTCATACATGTTAGCACCCAAAGCACTGTAAACTACAATATTAAGTTGTCCTCCACCTACGCTGCTTCCCGATGGTTCTCTCCCTCACACGTCATCTATCGTCTCTATTTATGTGGCGATGCCATTAAGTGAAGTTCACTCCGTCATTGTTGTTGGTTTTAACTTGTCCTCCCATATCGTTGGTTTTTGTTTCGCTCGCCGTCGTCGATGGTTTCGTTTAGGTTGTCGTCGATAGTTGTCGTTCAATTTATCAACCTCCTTCATAGACAAATTACAAAGCCGCAACAAAGGAAAAGGCAAAAGACTTTTCATTTACTCTTTTCTTTTTTATTCAATGTCAATTGTTGTGGACACATGTCAAAGCCCCAGTGAATCTTCCAATTTAAAACTTTATGGCTTTACAAAAATTACTATGTTACCCTTTAGCTAATGAAAATCACTAACAGAGAATGACGGAAAGTACCTATTTGTCGTTTTCAAACAATTTTTGTACCAAATTGTCTTTACGGCAAACCTTCGGTGGGTGTATGTTGTTCAGCCTTAATAGATGTTTTAAACTGTGTGTCAGTTTGTCTGTGTAAATTTTGGACCCAACAACAGTGTACAGCCCAACGTTAAAGCTGTTCTAAATTGTGTAAATTACATATGCTGAAATAACGATGTAACATCTGTTTGAATTGTGTAAAATCTATTGAAATAACTAATATTGTTTCCCTTTTTTAATGTTAGAGAGAACATTCGTAGCAACTATGACTACATCATCCTCAAGGGCTAGGTTTGCATCTTCTTCAACTCAAAACAATGCTCCACAATCTCGAACAAGATTTAAACATTCTACTTTGTCTAAATTAATTTTTAAACAATCATGACTCTATAAGTTTTAAACATTCTACTTTGTCTAAATTAAGTTATAATTTGATTTGGAAGTTCACAGCCTCTTTTAAGTAATGTGAGTTTGAACGTGCAAATGCATCGTAAGAGAAGGTAATTTTTGCTAAGGCAACTATGTGTGTTGAGGTTATTTGGAATATATTTCCTCTTTTTCTAGTTCTGGTCACAACCTCTTTGGGAATTGTTGCTCTGTTTTGGTCTGATGTTGATTGGTTCTTATTGTGGCTAAAGCCTAAAATGATTTTTTTCTTCTTCATTGTCATTGGCACAAGTTTGTGGAAATTGTTGCTTTGTTTTGGTCTAATGTTGATTACTTATTCTTGTGGCTACACCCTAAACTACTTTTTTTTTTTCCTTTCTTTATTATCATTGTCACAAGTTGTTTGTGGAACTTGTTGCCCTGCTTTGGTCTGATGTTGATTACTTCTTAGTGTGGTTGCACCCTAAATTGGTTTTTTTTCCTCTTCTTTGTCATTGTCCTTAATACCTAGAGTTGACAAAAGTATCACCAAATGGCGATTAAGATAACAAGGCTGATACTTAACTGTTTAAAACCGTTAACGTTAACAAATTTTTTTTGGAATGATTAAAATATACACGTGTAAGTGATTTTATTGTTTTAAAAAAAATAGAAATAAAACAATATAAATATCACTAAAATATTTTATATCCATGTATATATTGTTTTATTTCTATTATTCTTTCAAAACAATAAAATCACTAACACATGAATATTTTAGTCATTTAAAAAATTTCAATTAAAGTTAATTGTTTTAAACCGTGAAGTGTTTTCTGGTTATTTTTTTAAATAAAAGTATCTTATAAGTTTTTATAAAATTGTTCTGATAATACCCAGATTAGTTATAATGTAGGTTTTACTGACGTGGATAATATGGTGGGTCCAAATTTTCATACACATTGCAACTTTTCATTGGGTAGAGACATAAAAGTACATGGTAATTAGAATCTTTAATTAACTCCCCTTCAGCAATTAAGTTAATTAAAATCATCACTAATTCATTATATTTTTAATTGTGGATTAAACTAATTTTTTTTAAAAGTTTTTTTACTTGGCTTTCAGAAATAAAATTTTGCAATAATAAGACCATGAGACTTGAACAAAAAAATTGATGGGGAAGTATAAGATGCTGTAATTTCTCTCTTTTGCCAGGCAAAGGTGGTGAACAACAACATATTGGGGAATTCTCTACTTGCTTTTTAAGGACAGACTGAATCTAATTCATGGATGATATATATCAATAAAACTACCTACACTAGCCCAAGGTGTACAAATTGAGTACTAACTGATATGGCTAATAGCCACATCAGTTCCCTCCAAAGCCTTAAAAAAAAAAAAAAAAAAAAATTTCAAAATGAATAAACTCTTTCAAACTAAAAACAAAACCCGCCACCTGAAACTAAAAACAGAAACCCGCCACTGACCAGCAGTGTATCCTCTACCACCACCACCACCGTGGCCTACCGTCTTCCACCATTAGTGTCGGTCGCCGTCGTCCACCACCAGCGCTGACCAACATCTTTTGCCAGCAACCGTCATTTTCATCCACTGAATTTATAAAAAAATTGCTCTCAAAATAGAAACCCATAAGATTGAACCATCTTTTGCTTCATGGTATTATTTCTATAGCTTTGAAACATCATCTAAGAACAATATAGGAGCTTGAGAGTCATGATAAAATGCTATAAATAAAATGATGTACTTGTTAACATCCGTTGCTTATGTTGTGGTTTGACAATTGTTGAACTATTTCATTGCAAAATAGTTTATTTGTCAATTTATTTCTTTTTATTGCAAGTTGTGCTTTTTTGAACTTGTTCTTGGTGTTGTATTAAAGTTCCAAAGATGGAATAGTGTAGTTAAAAAAATCCAGACAACTCTTCTTCTCATTTCAATGTTGTGGAGGTAATATTTTGTTGGTAATCTCATTTTATTCATTAATATGATTTTAAATTTTTTATGGTATTGTTCCTATCCTTTTTGTTGTATTATTATATTTTAATTATGGCTATTATAATATCAATAAATTAGGATAATCATTTTGAAGAAATGGAAGATACAAGAAGTGCATATGAGGAATGGGAGCCTAAGCTTTGAATGATTTTTGATTCGCTTGATAATCTTGTCCAACACTACAAAAGCTATGGGAATAAAATGGGTTTCGAAGTTATTAAACGATCTTCAAAGAAAGGATATGACGGAGAGGTGACAAACGCGACACTAGCTTGTTCTTGTATTAGGAAGTCGTGCAGTAACCCCGTAAATGCTTTTAAAATGCATCCAGTGACAAAAACTAATTGTAAGGCTTGAATTGGTGCAGTTGTACGTTCTGACGGCAAATGGAAAATATGTTCAATTCTGTTTGATCATAACCATGAACTCAGTAGTCCTAACAAAAGTAGATATTTCAGAAGCAATCAAATTATACAACCATACGTAAAAAGAAAGTTTGAAGTGAATGATAGGGTTGGGATTAGGCCAAATAAAAATTTCAATTCCATGTTAGTTGAAGGAACTACATTGAAAAAGTTAGGAGGTTACGACTTGGTGTTGGAGATGCTTCTGCAATCCAAAAATATTTTTTGAAAATGCAAAATGCAAAATGAGAGTTCTAATTTCTTCTACATAATGGATTTAGATGAAGAAGTCGATTAAAGAATGTTTTATGGGTGGATGCAAGATGTAGGGCTGCATTTAAAGAGTTCGGTGATGTTGTGACATTCGACACTACATATTTGACCAACAAGTATGATATGCCATTTGGTGCTTTTGTTGGTGTTGATCATCATGTTCATTCGATACTGTTAGGTTGTGGGTTAATCTCCAATGAGGACACAAAGACATTTGTATGGCTTTTTCAATCTTAGCTTGCATGTATGTTGAATTGCGCTCCTAAAGCAATAATCATTAATCAAGATAAAGCAATGCAAAATACAATCGAGATTGTGTTCCCTGGTACATGACATAGCTGGTGTTTGTGGCATATAATGAGGAAATTGTCTGAAAAACTTAGAGGTTATAGTCAATATGAACAGATTAAGTTTTTTTTTTTTTCAAAAAATGTCGCGTATGATTCATTGACATGTGAGGAGTTTGAAGAACGTTGGAATAGGTTCATTGATAAATACAACCTTCACGACAATGATTGGTTGCTTGGATTGTACAATGAAAGACGACGTTGGGTGCTAGCTTTTGTAAAAGATACTTTTTGGGCAGGTATGTCTACTACTCAACGCAGTGGAAGTATGCATGCATTCTTTGATGGATATGTTAATTCAAAAACCACTTTAAAACAGTTTGTGGAACAATATGAGAATGCATTGCGTGATAAAGTGGAAAAAGAAAGGGAGTCTGATTTTAAATCTTTCAAATCATGGATCCCTTGCATAACCACTTATGCTTTGGAGAAACAATTCCAAGATGCATATACCACTGCAAAATTCAAATAGTTTCAACAAGAGCTAGCTGCCAAGGTCTATTGTGATTTATCTTCTTTCAAAGAGATTGGTTCCTATATGGAATCTATAATAGAAGAAGATGTTTTGGTTAGAGAGACTCACCGTCGTGTTCCTTTTGTGGTTTGCTTTGATGAAGCAACTTGTGATGTTCGTTGTAATTGTCGATTGTTTCAGTTTAGAGGAATTTTATGTCGACATGCAATTGTGGTATTGATTCATAAGCAAATTTCTCATGTACCAGAAAAGTACATTTTAAGACGATGGAGGAAAAATATAAACAGACACCATACCAAGGTGAAGATAAGTTATAACAGTTGGAGCACCAATCTTGACAGACAACGATTTGATGAGTTGTCTAATTTATTCAGTGTTGTAGTAGATTTAGCATCAAGCAATGAGGATGATTGTAATATGGTGAAAGAAATGATCAATGATATGAAGAACAAATTGATGTCAAATAAAAGTGTCGGGATTTATAAAAGACCAAACATGTCAGGTAATAGTAGAATGATTTGTGAAGGTGGTGATGATACTTTGAAAGAAGGGAGTAGTAATATTCTTACTCCACGGGCTGTTCATAGCAAAGGTCGTCCCCCATTCAAAAGAAAACAATCAAAGGTTGAAAAAATTGTTCGTAAAGTAAAAGGGAAGAAATTGCGATAACAAGAAGTTGCTATGAGTTTGAATCCTGGTCTCACACTTGGATTTAATCAAGCAACTTAGGTATGTAATTCATTTATGTTTCTTTGTCTGAGTTGATGTTTACATGTGAATTGTAGAAATGTATGCAGTCGAAGATTGTTATTTTAGAATAACATGTGGTTGAGTTCTTATTGTATGTTGCATAGGGATTAAAAGAACTTGAGTTTCAGGAACTTGGATGCTCATGTTCATCAGCCGAAGGGCAACAGCTCCAGGTGCTTATGATTCCTTAGTTTTCTTATAAAAATCATGTATCAAAATGATTGTGTATGTATTTAACTGCTTGTGTGTGGTTTCATTATTGCTTGCCATATTTTTGCTCCCTTAATGTGGTAGGTTAAGATTAGTGCCTGCATATGCTAGTGAGGTGAATGAGTTGCTCATGGATGGTGCATTGATAAATGATGCATGTCTTTGTTCAGGAGCACTAGAATTAACTTTCTAATATTGTATTAAGATGTTTATTAGCTGTATTTTTTTTTTTTTTTTTTTTTTTNATCTTGTTTCTTGGTTCTCTATTTTACTTTGTTTTTAGCTTTTGCTTATGTTTTAAAAATTTCTCAGTCTACTAATGTGGTTGAGTTCTTGTTGTATGTTGCACAGGGATCAAAAGAACTTGAGTTTCAGGAAGTTGGATGCTCATGTCCATCAGTTGAAGGGCAATAGCTCCAGGTGCTTACGGTTCTTTAGTTTTCTTATAAAAATCATGTATCAAAATGATTGTGTATGTATTTAATTGCTTGTGTGTGGTTTCATTGATGCTTGCCATATTTTCATTGCTGCTTTCTATATTTTTGCTCCCTTAATATGGTAGGTTAAGATTGGTGCCTACATATGCTAGTGATGTGAATGAGTTGCTCGTGGATGGTGCATTGATAAATGATGCATGTCTTGGTTTTGGTGCACTAGAATTAACTTTCTAATATTGTATTAAGATGTTTATTAGTTGTATTTTTTTTTTTTTTTTTTTTTTGCCAGGTCTCCAAAATTCAGCATTAATTTCAGGGGAGACTATTGGGTTGGTGCAAGATTTTTTCGTGCTACAGCTTTGTTTTTGCTCTTTGTAGTATTGGAAATTTACAGATTTTTGGAGTTTTAGCTTCTTGCAGTCTCTAGGACATTTTTGCAGTTAGTGCAATTTTGTGTGTGTTGAATCTGCAGCTTGGATCTGCTCTTGAGGTGTTCTAGTGCTAGATATATAGTTTTTAGCTATTTGGGTATGTTGGTTATTGTTGTGTGGTGGATGGCATTGGTGCATGGCCAAACAAAGGATTCTGGAGAGTTTTATTTGGAGATGCAGCAGCAGAAAACTGCATTTTTGTAGTTCCCAGAAGTAAGTTTAGAGCTGTGCAGTGTTTTGTTAAGAACCTTGGCTGTTTGTGCAGTGTGTTCTGGAGTTGCAACTTCAATGTTGCATTTTGTTAGCTATTAGTGCAGTGTTTTTGGGGTTGGACATGATGGTTAGGCCTGTTATTTTTGTAGTGTCCAAGAGAGTTTGGCTGGTTGTATAGTTTTATTGTACAACACTCTATGCATACTCTTTGTATAGATGATCTTGCAATCTTTTTGTGATATGTAAATACTGATCCATATTTGGAAGAAGTAACAAAAAATTCAATATATGTATATACACATAATTATATTCATAATAAGTTACTTTTTTTTTTTTTTTGGGTAAACTAATAATTTTATACAAGAATAAAAGAATTACAACCTAGGAAAGGGGACTCCCCTTTAGAACCAAGAACCTTGGGCATTCCCAAGGGGCAAAACCACAAAAGTGAGGACAACCAAGGAAAGACATTCCTTATACACAAGAGACCAAAGCAACCAAAGGTAGCCAAACGTTAACCCCTAAAAGGCCTTTACAAAAAGGATCAGCAAACCAAACCAGAAAAACAGGCCAAGCTTCAAAACTAGCAATCCAAACTGTACAAGCTGGAAGAAAATCTCGAAAACAAAAAACGCACAAACAACATGGACTACACAAGCTATAATAGACACCCCAAGACTGCACATAGCACCAAAGGCAAAGAACAATTGCAACAGCTTCAAAAACTGCACACACGCACAAGCTACACCAGTTGCAAAATCTCCCAGAAAGAGCAAACAGAAACTGCAAAAACTATTACATCTTCAACCAAGCTATAACACTCCCTCGACAACAACACAATCGTAGCATAATCCTGCAAAATACTGCATTACCCGCCACAAATCCTGAAAATTGTTGAGATTGGACTACTCTTTCGGCTCTAGCTGAGACTAGTTGATATCTCCGAAACCACAATCTTCCCTAGCTTAAAGTGGGAACTGATGAAGCTGAGGCTAGTTGATATAAAATCTGAGTTTATTATATGATTCATTTGTTCAAAATCACTACAATACCAAACTGGCAACTCCATGAAAATAAAAATAAAAATATATCGATAAGAGGTGAGAAGCTCTTTTGTAGTCACGTATGTTCACCTTCATTGTTGTAGTTTGTAACATGGCGACTGCAATACAATAATTTTAAAGGAACAATTTTTGGTAATATATATGCTAAATTGCACTTCTGTCACTATATACAAATAATAGTATAAGATTATGGAGATGTACTGGCCACAATGAAGGTAGGCCTTAATGGAAGCCGCCCTAGGCCTTTCGAGCATATGTGAGTACCATCACAAAATCTTTTGCGAAGGAACCAATCTTTGCTGGTACTTTTTTTGGTGTTGCTACTGTTTGCAGCCACAAATAAACTAAATTATACAATTCCAAAGTGGGGATCACTGATTGTCCCATACATTTGATCTCAACCTACAAAACTATTCAAAAAAAAAAAAAAAAAAAAAAAAATGCACTGAATTTGAACTAAATTCACCTCATTTCTGAACATTCATAAGCAAAATCCAAGGGTAGCAAAATGTCAAACTATGTCTTCAATGAATCAATTTATTTAAAAAATAACTAGAATAAAACAGACCCAACAGCTAATTGAAACTAAAAATAGAATTGAAAAGATAAGAGTCTTACCTGTGCCTTTGATTCTCGGCTGGCAAAATGTGGTGGTTTTTGGTGAGGCACGGAAATGATGGTTAGGGTTTGGTTTGTACTTTGTTGGCATCTGGTGAGGACACGACCTCTGGCTTGCCGAGGCGAGGCGAGGCGAGGCGTGGCATGGCGTGTGTGGGAAACGTTATTCCAGTTGGTTTGGCGAGACGTGGTGGCTTTTGGCGAGGCGTGGAAAGACGGTTAGTCTTTGGTTTGTTGGATCTGGTGAGGTGTCGGCGTATCTGGCGAGCATGGCGTAACGTGGGAAAACATTGATGTCTGGTTCCAAATTTCAAGGAACCGTCGGTTCTAGTTCCAAATTTCAAGGAACCGTCGGTTCTGGTTCTGGTTCCGGTTCCTTCAAAATATGTAGGGTACCCGGAACCAAACACCCCTAGGAAAAATTGTATAGTGTTTGCATTGAGAGAATGAATTTGATTTAGGGAGTCGAGGAAATGAAATTTGAAGAAAAACAAATATATACTTTTTAAGAAAATTGATGTGGCATCTGCTACATCAGTTAGTACTTGGGTTAGTATGATTTGGTTAGTGCAGATAACATTACTTCCAAAAGCTTATATCACTTGTTAGTTGTTAACTCACTATAGCCTTACGAGTACTAACATAGGTAATGGTTACATAATATTATCTCAATTTTGTATAACAATAATGTTAGACGTACAAATAAATTTTACAAATATTTATATACAGTAGAAACAAATCTTATAAAGATTTATATACAGTGCAAAAAAATCTTACAAAAATTTATATACAAACTGATGTGGTAGAAAATGAATAGAAAAGTGAACAATAAAGATAGACTGACAAACCTTTCTCACTAACTTTTTCTCCCATTACGAGTTGCCAAGTTGCGATTGTGAAAGAAAGTTAGTGAGAATAATTTGTGAGCATTGTATTACTCAAAATTGAATACAAAAAATCAAACATATGGAGGGTACATCAGTATGTATTTGTATAGAAGATGTATGTACTTTAGTTTGTATAGAAGATGTATGCCGGATCCAAACATATGGAGGGTACTATCAGTTTGTATTTGTATAGAACTGTCATATCAATATTGGTTTGTATTTGTATAGAAAATGTATGATAGATCCAGACATATGGAAAGTGTTATATAAGCGACGTGAGTTCTCAAAGGTATTATTGACCTAGGACTTGCATGGTTTTTTAATGAAAAAAAATATCTTTTGTGATGAGAGTGTCTTTATACTATATAAACGACCAAAATTCTCGTCTCAAAATCGATATAAGACTTTGACACTAACAAAAAATAAAATAATAAAACAAAATTGAAGGTGATTATATCAATTTTTAAATTGAAATTATGTGATAATTACTAAATTAATAAAATAATAAGAAATCAAGTTTCAAAACTTTTTCTTTTTCTTTTTACTACTTAGACATTACAAAATATATTGGCTTCGTGACTTAGTTGCAATTACTCTTTCAGAAAAGATTTGCAGTTACGAGAATCCAGCACACGGAGTGAGTACAACGATAGCACACAGAAAAAAAGTCCGCCAAATCCAAGATTTTAAAATCTTTCAAATGCCAAAATAACAGTAACTGACACCCTTCAACTCAAATTCAAATTCACCTGCTGACGTGTCACTTGTATATAATGTCACGTCACACGACCCAGACCAACATCTCATTCTCCAGATATTTTAGGCCCACACCCATTTTTAGAAAAAAAATTAAAAATCCCCCAAAAAAAGCGAAAATAGCTTTTTATCTTCTACTCTACTACCTCTCCGTCTGTGTCACGAGTTTCATCATCTTCTATTCTCTAATTAGCCGTTCCAGAAATACAAATTCTGATAGGGTTTTCGAAGAGAAAGAGACTGAAATGGCGACGATGGAGAGCTTGATAGGGTTAGTGAATAGAATACAGAGAGCATGTACGGTGCTTGGTGACCACGGCGGTGACACTGCTCTTCCTACTCTCTGGGAGGCTCTTCCCTCTGTTGTTGTTGTCGGTGGACAGGTTTGTATTGTTGCATGTTATTGAATTTTGATTTCTTTTTTTATTTTTTATTTTTATGTTAATGTGATTGTTTCTGGTTACTGTCTCTGTCGTTTTGTCTTTTAGTATGTATATATTTTTGAATTGTGAAGGCATGCATTTCTACGTTAAGGATGTGTAATTTGAATTGACTGTGATTGTTTTGATGTGATTCATCCGTGTTTTTGACGAGAATGCAGAGTTCTGGAAAGTCGTCGGTACTGGAGAGTGTTGTTGGACGTGATTTTCTACCCAGGGGATCCGGTGAGAAACTTTGAATTTTGTGTGTGTGTTTTGATTATTATTTTGCTTTATTTTTGGTGCTGAAAAAGAGGAGGAATATAAAAAGGGGAAAAAAGTTGACTCCTTGTTTTTCTTTTCCAAAGAATATTAAATTTAAATCAACTCAAAAACGATTATAGAGGTTAACAGGCTTTATTTATCAGATTTTTTCTTCAAATAAACATTGTACTCTATTTTCTGATTATCACCTAATTGAATTAGTTAACTCAGTTAAGAATTGTTAAAATCTAACTTATATTTGGTTAAATTTGTTCACTACGAGATTAACTGAAACTGAAAGATCTTAGAAAAAGAAAAAGGAATCTGAGATTTCAAAAAAGTCAGATTCCTAAAAAGTTATTTGTAGCAAACAATGTTTTGTGATGTGTGGCTAATGCTCAGGGATTGTGACGAGGAGGCCTCTGGTGCTTCAACTGCACAAGACAGAACCAGGGAAACAAGACTATGCAGAGTTCCTGCATTTGCCACAGAAAAAGTTCACTAATTTCTGTATGTTATTTTATTTGGATGTTATGATACGACTGTTTTGATAAATTTTATTTTATATCTTTCTCTCTCCTTCTCTTTCCATTCTTGATGAGTTACTATGATTTATTTGGATAAATTCTATGAAATTTTAAATGGTTAATGTTTCATGTTTTAAACTCAACTAGCCATCAAAGTCATAGAGATAAAGAAGTAATAGCATCTCCAAAGTACTCACTCAAACTCTTTATTATAAAGTATTTATTTATAAAAACAAAAATTCAACAAATTCTTTATTCTTTAAATATAAATTAAAGAATGAGTTTGACTCTCCACATATAGAGAGTCAAATTTCACTCTTTATCTTAATTTTAATTAATAAAGTATAAGTTTCTATGTATTTTATTTATTAATTCTCTCTCTTATTAAGAGTATCTCCAATGATGCTCTTTATTTTGAAGAGCATCTTTCATATAAAAAAAAAATATTTTCATTAATTTTTAAATATAAAGAACACAATTTTTATTCAAATCCAATAGACTCTTTAAATTTAATGAAGATGTTCTTTATTTTTAAGAAAGAGACTTAATGGGAGAGAAAATTGATAAATAAGATGCATAGGAATTTGTAGTTTATTTATTAAAATTAGGATAGAGAGTGAAATTTGACTCTCTAAATGTGGAGAGTTTAACTCACTCTCTAATTTATATTTTAAAGATAAAAAGTCTGTTAGACTCTTATTTTTATGGATAGACTCTTTATAATAAAGAGTTTGAGTCATATAAAAAGTCATTTGGAGGTGCTCTAAATCTTTTTTTTTTAAACTCAATAATAGAGAGAATTAAAATTTAAAGAGTTTATTGGATTTTTGAATAAAAATTATGTTGTTTATATTTAGAAATTAATGAAGATGTTCTCTATTTATATGAAATATGGTTTTTAAAATAAAGAGCAAAGTTGACTAGACACATAATTTGTCATGTATTGTAATTGTTGTTGGTTTTCTTCTTTGCACAGAGGCATATCACCTAAAATTTTAACCCAATAGTTCAAGCTATTAGGTGAAGGTCTGACTACAGTAGAAGTAGCTATGTGATACGACTCTCAGCCATTGTGAGATAAAAAATAGTATGAAACCATTTTAGACAAATTAAATTTCAACTTGATTTACAAGAGTTCATTCTTTCTCTTTCTTTTCCCGGCCCTAACTGATTTAATAAAGTTTGCTGGTTTAGCATATGGCTCCGTTTAAAAATAACTGCTGGTTGTATGAAGAGTTTTTCTAATATGCGAGAAAATGTTTTGATAATATTTTCTTTTCTATGTTGAACATTTGTAATTCTGTCATGATAACCATTAGATGCTCATATTTTCATGCAATAATTTTTAGTCGCTTCTTTTCTGTTTCGGTTTATCTAATGTATCGTGTTAGACAGAATATTACTTCAATCATTCATGTAACTTTCTAGCCCAGCTCTCTTTGTAGTAAGCATTGCAATCTCTATTTCCTTCTTACCTAAAATTTTATGATGAGAAAAAGATATATAGCATTATCAATGCAGCTCATTCTCTAGGTATTTGTTTTATTGTTACATTTTGACAAACATTAAATGCAATTGAAACTGGCTATTGAAATTTAAATTCTTTCATGCAGCTATGGTTCGGAAGGAAATTCAAGATGAAACTGATAGGGTGACTGGGAAATCAAAACAGATTTCTCCCATTCCTATTCATCTTAGTATCCATTCCCCAAATGGTATGTATAAAATATGAGATGGCAAGCAGTGTACTATACTTTGATTCAAGTGATTGTTCGCTATATCATTTTATAACGAGAGATCATTTTACATGTATCATTGACTTATGTTCTTGGCTTTTTTTTTGTCAGTTGTCAACTTAACTCTGATAGATTTGCCCGGATTGACAAAGGTTGCTGTAGGTACAATCTTCTTGTTGTCATTCTTTCTTTATTTCCTACTAAAATGCACTTTCCATGGTAAGAAGTTCCTCATTATGTTTGTGAATTTTTAACTTAAAAATATTTGTTTATGGCAGAGGGACAGCCAGAGAGTGTTGTTCAAGAAATAGAAACAATGGTTCGTTCATATGTTGAGAAGGTAATGAGAATAAGCTTTATATTTGTTGAAAAGAATTTAAAGTGTAGTCAATATTTGTTATATATTAGAGATTTTGAAAGTATTTTGATTATGAAGTTCTTCGTAAGCTCTATTTTTCTTCGTAAGCTCTATTTTTCTTCCTTTTGTAATGTATAAATATCTTTTTCTTGGATAATAGCCAAACTGCCTCATTTTGGCAATAACTCCAGCCAATCAAGATCTAGCAACCTCTGATGCTATCAAGCTTTCTAGAGAAGTTGATCCTACTGGTATCCACTATGCTTGAATTAAAAAGCTTATATGATTGTATTTCTGCAACAATCATCGTTACTTTTTTTTTGTTCTTACACAAGGTGATATTTTTCTTTCCCAGGTGAAAGGACCTTTGGCGTTTTGACAAAGCTTGATTTGATGGACAAGGGAACAAATGCTTTAGATGTGAGCTCTCTAATGTGTTAGTTCATTTTCGTGCTTTGGAATGTGTTGGCACACCACCCCCTTCCCCCCTCGCCCTCTCTCTGTCTGATTCTTACTCAGTCACTCATTCTCTTCCTTTGTATTTGTTGTAGATTCTTGAAGGCAGGGCTTATCCGCTTCAACGACCTTGGGTTGGAATTGTAAATCGCTCACAAGCTGACATTAATAGAAATGTGGACATGATTGCTGCTCGGCGGAGGGAGCGTGAGTTCTTTGTCACTAGTCCTGATTATGGACACTTAGCCGGCGGAATGGGCTCAGAATATCTTGCAAAACTTCTGTCTAGGGTATTATTTTTTGTTTTATTTATTAGTTTTGCCTCCAAATTTGCGTTTTATATGTGCTGGCATTTTTTGCTACTTTTGGTTTCAGAGTTATACATATAATTGCTAATTACTTATTAAAATTAATATCTTGTCAGCATTTGGAATCTGTGATTAGAACTCGCATACCTGGCATCATATCTCTAATTAACAGAAGCATTGATGAACTTGAAGCAGAGTTGGATCATCTGGGTAGACCAGTTGCTATTGATTCTGGGGTGAATAGTTTACCTATTTGTTCATTATTTATGATGATGGGATAATCCTTGGGATAGAGATTAACTGTTTTAATTTTATTGATATCAGGCCCAGTTATATACTATCTTAGAGTTGTGTCGTGCATTTGATCGAGTGTTCCAGGAGCATTTGGATGGAGGGTATTGTGAACCTCATTTCTTCCTGATTTCAATATACTGGAAATTTTTTATTTTTTCTTTTCTTACTTTGGGTTGAGAATATTTTCCAATTTACTGATTTTCAAAGTGGCACACTCCTGAAATCTGGGAAATATTTTAAGTACAGTTATTTTTGTGAGCTTTTCATGAACTAACTTCGGACTAGACTGTAAATCTACTAGGTCTTTGTAAAAGCCATTTTCAGAATGGCTACAGCATATTATGTTGCAATCTAATTATACTCTATTTTGTTGTTTTCCTGTTTAATATCTCAGACGACCAGGTGGTGATCGTATTTATGGAGTTTTTGATAGTCATCTCCCTGATGCTTTGAGGAAGCTTCCATTTGACCGCCATCTGTCACCACAAAATGTGAGGAAAGTGGTTTCAGAAGCAGATGGGTACCAACCTCATTTAATTGCCCCTGAGCAAGGTTATCGACGGCTCATTGATAGTGCACTTAATTATTTCAGAGCCCCAGCTGAGAGTTCAGTAGACACTGTAAGTCCATTTTGCTTTCTTCTTCAGTAAGATCCCTCAATTAATGGGTGACTGGATTGATTCTTTGTGTTCAAGACATTTTCTTGTTTGGAAGCTCTAGCAAGGCAATTGCAAGCTGTAAATACTTTCCAAGGCCCCCATGGTATAAACAAAAGAAATTTCTGATTGCAAAGCATTTGTTTATGAAATCATTTTAATTTATGTGTCAGGATAAGCTTAAAATTATCTAGAAACAATAAAAGTGGACTCATCATTGCAAGGTCCCAAGGGCCATCATTTGGAATCTTTGATATGATCTAAATTAATGAAGTCAAATGATATCTTGCTGGCTACTGGAGATTTATTGCATTTTCAAATAACTGATCCTGATACCTTTTCTATAAATTGGCATTCTGAATTGTAGGTTCACCGCATTCTGAAGGAACTTGTGAGAAGATCAATAGGAGAAACTCAGGTTTGCAATTATGAAATCTCACTAGTCTAAAAAGCAGTTTTCATATAAGAAGGTCAATGTGTAAGTTGATTTATGAAATTTGGACAGGAGCTGAAGCGCTTTCCAACTCTTCAAGCTGAGATTGCAGCAGCTTCCAATGAAGCATTGGAGAGATTCCGCGAGGACAGTAAGAAGACTACTTTGCGGTTGGTGGACATGGAATCCTCATACCTAACTGTTGATTTCTTTCGGAAACTTCCCCAGGAAGTTGAGAGGGGTGGAAATCCAACTGCCTCGACGGTAGACCGATACACAGAGGGGCATTTCCGCCGGATTGGATCAAATGTTACCTTATACATTGGAATGGTGGCTGAGACCCTTAGGAATGGCATTCCTAAAGCTGTGGTACACTGTCAAGTGAAGGAGGCCAAGCGGTCATTATTAGATCACTTCTACACACAACTGGGCCAAAAAGAGGTACTCAGCAATTACTCTGTTCAATCTCTAAATTAACTAAACCAAACTTAAGATTATTTAAATCCAGGTTTTTCTTGGTATATTCTGATTTTGTACATATAAATGCCGACTTATCATTCTAATTACTTTTAAATGGGGATTTTCCATGATAGCTTTAATGAAGACCAAATGCTGATTAAACTTTGATGTGTACATAGGACCAAATATGCCCAAAGTTAATAACGTTTCAAATCCAGATCTTAGACATTGCTATTTATTTGGATTAGGTTTGATATTTTTGTTTGTTTCTACTGGATAGGCGAAGCAACTCGCTCAGTTGCTGGATGAAGATCCTCGGTTGATGGAAAGGAGACAGCAATGTGCCAAGAGGCTTGAGTTATACAAGTCTGCTAGGGATGAGATTGATTCTGTCACCTGGATCAGATGAAATGTATAGTGAATCACAGGACATACTAGAAATTATCAGTAATATAGGGGACATGTTATCTGGATTTGAAGTACATTGTGGCTTGCTATTATTTTCGTATTATGAAATTCATGCAAATCTTTTCTAGATTGGATTGTGTAGATTTTCCTGTTGTAGGTTTTGCTAATCGAACTTGAATAGGAATCGAAATATTAAAATTTGACGATTAAACCATTACAGTATCTTCTTTCAATTGTGCTTGTCTCTTTCAAAATTTTGAAAGCTTACAAATACACTCAAAGCCAAAGGACAACATTCTGGTTATACAACTAAATTGCAGACAAAAAACACAGTAATTACGGCTGTTTGAGGAAGAATTTATTTATATTTCTAATTCGCTACTTACGATATAGATATGATAAGTAGTGAAGGTGGAGGACCAAGTGGGCATTTAACAGCATTATTCAATTCTATTCAAAGTAAACCTTGTGAGTTTGATAAAAAAAAATATCTCTGCCCACGTCCTAATATGTCTATACTTTTAAGCCTTTATTTTATCGAGCTCTTCCAAAGCTGCCCACAATTTTGGATCTTCATAATCCTTTATAAGAAAGGTAGGCTTTGCTTCCAACAAAGAATGCTCTGGATTTCTGGTAGTTATACCTACAACGGGCATCTCCGCCGCCACTCCTGCTTTGATCCCTGAAACAGAATCCTAGACCAGCAAAAACATAACAATGTCAAAATTCTAGAGTCCACGAACTTTTAACTAATTTTTGGAATTTGGAAATAACATTGTGGGAGGAAGGCATACCTCAAATACAAATGTGTGATCCTTTGACACATTGAGCACTTCCAGAGCCTTCAAGTAGGGTTCTGGGTGTGGTTTGGCATGCTCACATTCATCCCCAATGATGACAACATCAAAAAAATCCGAGAGGCCGAGTTTCGAGATCATGAGTTCAGCATTGGGTCTTGGAGCATTTGTAACAGCAGCTCGTTTCAAACCACGATCTTCAACCCATTTCTTTACTTTATACAGGCCGTTTAGAGGCGTCAATTGTTTTGAGGCCAATCTGTTACCATGAGAAAAGTTATTTATCGCAAGCTTGCAAAATTTACAAAGTGAACGGTGTATTTTGTTTACCTTCGAAACATTTCTTCCTTTTCTTCACAGAACTTTAAACCCCTTGGAAGATCATTGGGAAAGAGATGCTTGGCAATATCATCATTATGCTTGCCAGCGATATTCTCGGCAAAATAATCCTCAGTAATTGGAACCCCGCCATTGAAACCAATCTATAAAGCATTCCAGTGTTAACATAATGTCAGTTTGGTCACATGATGTCTATTGTCATTTCAAAGACATGCTCCCATTTAACATATTTACTATTTTACTAAACCAAATTTTGGTAAAACGAAGCTATGTCATAAAACAATTACTCATACAGATGCGGTGGTAGAATTAGAAATGGTAAAAGAATGAACTGAAGGGAACTGGAATCTTTTGTCAAGGCAAAGTAAAGTCAGAAAAAATTTAAAATTACCTCTTGAAGCATTTCTCGGAAGGCAATATGGTGGAGGGGATCTGAATCACAGAGAGTTCCATCAACGTCAAACAATACTGCTTCCAGAGGAGCAACTTTAGCAAGAGACGGTTTGCTGCTTTCAAGAAATAAAGGTAACAAGTTCAAAAGTATGGCCAACATAAATTTAGAATTCAAAATCTTTTTGGTATAGGAAATAAGAATAAAGATAAAGGAATCCAAATCTTGTACCTAAGGCAACCACACATACCCATGTCTACAACTACAACTGAAGCATAAGACTAGTTGGTATCTTATTCTCCAACACTAATAAAACTAGTTAGCATCTAATTCTCCAACAATGATTGATTCCCTTGTACCCAGTTCAAATCTATTCAAACAGAATAAAATATAATTTAAAATAACACAATGAGACTGCCAAAAACAAATTAAGTGAAAGACTAATCATTACTGAATCTAATATAACACAAGATGTTCCCCAACACAATTACAGTAAACAATCCAACAAATTACAATTCAATTTCAGATCAAAATACAATTAAAGGAAAAAAAAAAAAAGAGGATGCAGATGCAATACAACATGATGAAACCCACAAATATAGGAAAGTTTTTTTAAAAACAGTTTTGATTAAAACCAGACAAAACAAAGTTGAATCAATATAAACATAGACATCAATCATAATAACAACTCTCCGAAATAGAAACGAAAAAAACAAAAAAACGAAAGGAACTTAGTGAAATATGTTTACATTGCCATGAAAAAAGAAAAAGAAAAAAAAGAAGCTTATTTGCTATTCATCAATGGCGACTCGTCAATACAAAAACTGAAGAAATAAAAATAACCAGCCTGAGATATGGCAGCAAAGCAGAAGAAAGACATACCTCTCCACAGAATTTTGACCAGATGAAACAGTCATCCTGTAATTTGTCTAAAAAGAATGCGTAATTTCTTCGAACAAAAAAATGGGTAGTGTTGTAGATCGAAGGAAGGGTGCTGGTCAATTTATAAAGAGAGACGTGACACGAGAGAATCCACCAGAGCATCCAAAATGGAACTTATGTTATGCCACAGATGCGAGGTGCTGCTGCCTCTAATTAATTATTATAAAACGTAATTTAACTAAGATTCTAATAATCCTACTTTCCTCCCCAAAGGTTTAGTGAAATTAAAAATAAAACGTAATCTTATATTTAAATTTCAATATAAGATTGATTATTTGACAAAATAAGGATTGATTAGTTTTGTTTATTTTTAGATTTTATATTAAATGTTTATGTTAAAGTGTGAGTTTAAGACACAAAACAAATAAAAGTACATTAAGTTTTACCTATAGATTAGTGCGATTATTTTGTGATAAACACATGAATTATGTATTAATGTAAGTATTTTAATAATATAAAACCTATATTAAATAATAAAGAGTTGGATGATTGAAAATGTAATATTAATTTATACAAACTGTCAATAATAATGATTTAAATTGCTCTCTAACTATCAACACCGACGATCTCCCTTGGCTTATACCAAGATAATGAAAATTGAAAAGCACGTAATGGTAAAATCAATAAACTAAAGGGCTCTTAAGAATAATCAAAACTCAAATAGTAATATGGCAATTTCTTATTCGTCCTTTTACGCTTTTAGTTTTAACTGGGGATGCTTTTCACAACTCGGAAAATTTTCAAAATGAGTGGATGTCCCTTTTTCACTTGTTTAAATATTACGTGTATTCAGCAGCCACATACGACTTTTTCCCAAACGTCATGTTTTTTTAAATATCAATGAGTAAACGACTTTTTCCCACCGAATTGGCTAATGACAGCTTTTCCATCCAAAAAGTTTTAAATCACTTTTCATATTTTATTACTATTCAAAACTGATTAGGGTTATTAAGGCTAATTTCAACGATAAAAATTCTTTTTATTATAATCATTTGAACCTTTGATATCTTTTTTATAAAATTTCTTTTATTTGGACATTTGATTTCTCGTAAATTATCAATTTCTACAAAGATAAAATTTCTTGTTTTTAACTAATTTTTGACTGATTCTGGTGACAAATATTCAATCAATCACCACTATTCGATTTACCGACCTTTACTATACAAAACCCTTTTTACTTTGGCTCTTATTAATTTTTCGAATTCTGGATAAAAAAATTAAGTGTATTTTAGGTATTATCGGAATATAAACGTTGGGCGGAAAAATTATTATGGCAAACCTTGGGTGGGAAAAAGTCTTTTACTATCAATTTCATTTTAAAAAATTAAGCAATTACTGACTATTTTATTCGCTAAATTGGTCAGGTGGTGCTGCGAAACAAGAATTATGCACGCCCCTTTCAGCATAAAAAAAAATGATAAATTTTTTTAGCTTATCATATTTTTAGAACCTTATTATATGGTGTAAAAAACAGGGGAAGACATTAATAAACTAAAACAAGTGAGTGAATGAACTTTTAATTTTTTTTTTTAAATGAAAATATAACTATTATATTTATATAGCTATAGTTATTATGTCTATAAAAATACTGGAAAAAATAAAAAATTAAATTAAATGTCAGGATAGTATGCCGATAAGAAAATAAAAAAGGAATATTATTGAAATATATGATTTTTTTTTTTTTGTTACCTGGGGTGTTCGGACTAACTTATGCGCACTTGACTAGTCCTCTGATCTTGAAAAAGACTTCCGAAACAAGGTAAGCCTTGCGGCCTGGCCAATAGTATTAGCAACTATTCTTATAATTCAAACATGAGATCACAGGGGGAGCAAACCCCTTGACCCCAAACCTTTACCACTCGGCTAACCCATAAAAAATAAAAAAGATATATAATTTACTTAATGTAGTAAACAAAAATTAAAGGTTTTTTATTTATTTATTTATTTGGGCCTGTTCAAGAATTATAATGGATAACATAGGCCTAAAAATTCAATAAATATTAAATGGGAGAGAGGTGGGCTAAGTTAAAGTACACATAAGATTGGGCTTGGTCAGGAGAGTTGCTGGCAAAGCATACGCATTACTGTACAACACCTACTCCCAGGGCTGGTTAACGAACTGAGCTGCTCGTGAGCCGGCTCGGGTCGACTCGAGTCCGTCTCGTTAACTGCTCGATTCGTCTGATAACGAGCCGGCTCGACTTGGCTCGTGAGACAGAACGAGCCGAGTTCGAGCCATGCTTGGCTCGACTCGTTAGGCTTGCAAGCTGAGCCTAGCTTGAAATACCGGGGGGTTTTTTGAGGTTTTCTAAAGTACTGGGATTTAATTAAAATTATGCAACACAAGTTTTAAAAAATAACAAAATGGCCCCTGTTATTAAAATCCCCAAATCGTCGAATTCCTTCGCTAGATGAACCCTTGCCGTAAAAGTTGAAAGTTGAAACTCCTCCCAAATTCATGATTTTCTTCTCCATCATCAGCACAAAATTTTCGTCGGATCTTCGTCATCTTCGTCGGATCTTCATCATCTTCGTCAGATTTTAATCGGTGAGTATTGAGTTTCTTCAAAGTCTATAAATACTTTAGGGGTAAGGTTGTTTGTTTTGGTTTTGTTCTTCGGTTTGGTAGCTTGTGAAACCCATCTGTGATTGACAAAAAGTGAACGATGTCAATGAAATTTGAAGTTGTTTTTTTGTGAATTCTTTGTCTATAACAGGGGGTTTTTTCCGGTGAAAGAATTCAAGAAAGAGCAGACTATTTACAGTTGTGGTGGTTGACTGTGGTGGTGTTGCTGTGAAACCCATACAAGGTTATTGTTTGTGTACTATCTGTGAAGAGCAGTCTGCCGTGTATTGGGTCTGTTTCACTGTTTGTTTAAATTGCTTTACTGAAATTGCTATTGTTTGTGATTGTGGTTGTGTTGTGGACTTGTGGGACAAAATTGAAATTGCAAAGGAGTTTGTTAATGGTTGTTAATTTATAAATTTGTTTGTGGGAATGTGGTTTTGCATTTGGTGGTGGGGACTGGCTCACTGGGCAATTTATAAATTTTTTTGTAGGAATGTGGTTCTGCATTTGGTGGTGGGGACTGGCAATTTATAAATTTGTTTGTGGGAAGTGGTTCTGCATTTGGTGGTGGGGACTGGGGCTTTGTTATGTATTAAATTGCAAAAGGGTAAAGAGCAGTGATCTTCATTATGTCCTATCTCTCTCAGCCAAATAAGTAATTACACATATGTTAGCTCATTTTGTACCAGTTTTGGGAAGTTGTCGAGCCAAGACCATGCTTCGTACATATTCATAGTTGCAAAATAAACTAATATCACTGATAATGCAACTCCTCCAACTAGTCCAATGGAGAGGGAAACTGAAAAAATTCTAGGATACTAAAAAATTCTTAACATTTTTATCTCAATGGAGAGGGAAACTAATATAATCTCATATATTGACAAAACCCAAATGAAAAATAGAGATTTGGGGAAAAGATTAAAAAACCCAACTCAGTTAACTTGAAAATATCTCTAAATTGACCTGTTTGGGTTGCCTTTATACTCAAAGATATAAGAATTAATTCTCTATCAAAGCAAGAAACAATTTGGTAAAATAAATAGGCATAAGACATATAATTCTAAATTGTATTAAAGACATTATGATTAATGTAGTACAATAAATAGGCATAAGACATAATTCTACATAGTCATTTAAAGAATAAATGGGTTTGAATGAATAAATAGAGCATTTAATTCTTCAACCAACATCTCTAATTAAAGAATAAATGAATGTTGAGATGTATTGGTGACAATTAATATTGGTGTGCAATGTATAATGTATTGTTTGATGTGTGTGCAATGTAATAGTTTGACATTATTTCATATTGGTTTTGCGTTAAATTGCTGATTTTTGTTTTCCATTTATAGGTTCGTAAATGGAGGGTAATTCCTCAAGTACCCCTACAATACAAGATACAATTACCAATACACCTGGCGGTAACCTTAACTTGAATGCAACCACAATAAATACGGAGCAAAGTATTAGTAGCCCAGATAATGGTGATGAAAATCAAAATCCAATTCAGAAGCAACAAAGAGCGAAGACATCAGTGGTATGGACGGAGTTCAAGGAGGTGGTACTCCTTAATGGTACCAAAAAGGCTAAGTTTATCCATTGCAAAGTCAAGTTGTGTATTAATGCCACCGGAAGCACCACCCAATTCAATAGACATTTAAGCCAGTGTTTAAGGAGAAAATCTTCCATGAGGCAACAACATATTAGTTTTCCGAGTGTCGGTAATGATGTTGCAACTACTATTTTGCCAGCTTTAAGTGGGAAGTTTGACATGTCAAAAATGAGGGAATTGATAGCCCATTGGGTGCTCATGCATGAGCATCCATTTACAGTTGTGGAGAAAGAACGCTTGAACAATATGATGAAGTATTGGATTCCTGGATGGACTCTGGTTTCTCGCCATACTTGTAAAAAAGATTGTATGAAGGTATATGAAAGTAAGAAGGCCAAATTGAAGACTTTGTTGAAGAGTGTGACAAAAATCAGTTTGACTACAGACTTATGGAATTCAAGGAATCAAAAGATGGAGTATATGGTGTTGACCAGACATTGGATAGATAGTACTTGGAGGCTGAATAGACGTATCCTCAACTTTGTTCGTCTACCTCCTCCTTGGACTGGTATTGCGATTGCGGACGACATTTTCAAGTGCCTATGGGATGGGGAATTGAAAATAAGGTATATACTATTTCTGTGGATAATGCTTTAAGTAATGATGTTGCGATTAAGGTTTTGAAGGAAAATTTTGAAGTTTCGGGGAAGCTCATTTGTGGAGGTAAACTGTTTCATGTGAGATGTTGCGCACACATCTTGACCTTGATTGTTCAAGATGGACTTCATCAAATTAGGCACATCATTGACGACATCTATGAGAGTGTGTTGTATATCAACAGTTCAGAAAGCAGGCTGAAGGTATTTTCTGAGATTGTTTAACAACTTAAATTGCCATATCAGAAACTTATTCTCCATTGTAATACAAGGTGAAATTCTACCTATGAAATGTTGGCAACGACAATTAAGTTCAAAAAGGTTTTTCCAAGATTGAAAGAGAGGGATATCAATTATCATAATAATCCGAGTGACGAGGATTGGGAGAAAGTGGAGAAAGTCTGCGAAATTTTAAAAGTATTCAGTGGTTCAACCAAACTCATTTCAGGAAGTGATTATACGACGTCTAATTTATTCTTGAAGGAGGTGTGTGCAGTGAAATGTATGTTGGATAGTAAAAGTGAATCTGAAGATGATTTTATTAGAGTAATGGTTAGGAAAATGAAACACAAGTTTGATAAATATTGGGGGGAATGTAATGTGTTGATGTCTGTGGCTGTTGTATTGGATCTTTGGTTGAAAATGAGGGTTATTCAGTGGGCATTCTCTAAGATGTATTATGAGGCAGAAGGACGAGCAAATATGATGATGGTCCGGGATGTATTGTATGAGTTATATGGGGAGTATGTTCAAGCTAATCAAGGTGTGACTATCGCCCGTGCTTCTACATCACAAGGGGATGGACATGGAGCCATTGGTGAGGTGGCTGCGGTTGGGGGAGCCGAGGCCTGGGATGATTTTATCACTTTTCTGGATGTGGTTGAAATTGTTGAGCCTACTAAGTCTGAGTTGGACTGTTATTTGGGAGAGGGATGCCATAAGTGTGTGGGGGATCATGCCTCATTCGATGCCTTACAGTGGTGGAAGGCAAATTCAACCAAGTTTCTTATATTGTCCATGATGGCTCGTGAGATACTAGCCATCTCGATCACTACGGTTGCTTCAGATTCTGCATTCAGTGCTGGGAGCAAGGTTATTAATAGCTACCGAGCTTCTTTGTCACTAGCTACAGTGGAGATGTTGTTGTTATGTGGATGTGACTGGTGTCGCACTTTGAATGGAGTGAAGAAAGGGTACAAAGTAAGTTCCATTGCTTACATGTTTTGTTTAATTCAATATTTAAAATTACTTTATTCTAACCTATAGATTATTTTTATCTCTTTTTCATTTTAGAAAGAGGAGGATGAGGATCACTTGGAGATTCAACTTCCTGTTCTGTCAGGTGATGGGAGTCAGCAGATTGGTTGATTCACTCGTGAGTTATTGGCTGTGACAGTAGGATTTTGCAGGTCTATATTTATTACTTTTGTGTTAAGGTTTGCATTTTCATCTTTATGGTTTATATAAAATGACATTTGTACTTAATGTGTTTCACATTAATTTGTTTGTAGGAGGAGTGGAGCTACAATGGACATACAACCAATTATCTTTTACTGTTATATATATTTTTTGATGGATGAGGATGTCACTTGATGTATAGTTATGCTAACCCCCCATTTTGTTTTGATGAAAACTTAATTAAGTCAAGTGAACTAAACACAAAATATTTAGTTCACTTAACTTAATTTGTGGTACATACAGTATTTTGAATGATAAATTGTTAATAGCAGTAGCATTTCATTTAATGTTGATTTTAAGTAAGTTTAATTGTTAGGTGATGTATGAGGACATGAGAAGACATTCTGACAATCAGATTCAGACCTGCATGCTGCCCAACAAATTAAAAAAATAAATAAATGAAAAGTGAAAATTTAGAATTTAGAATTTAGTTTGAGGATGGCGAAAAATAAATGAATCAGTTTGACAAAATAAATGAAAAGTGAAAATTTAACAAAAAGCATCAGACATTAGTAATTCTTTATCTGCCCAGCAAATTAATGAAAAGTGAAATAAATCAGTTTGACAAAATAAATGAAAAGTGAAATAAACCAGTTTGACAATTCAGAAAATCAGATGTGCACTACTGCCCAACAAATTTAAAAAAAAAAAATTGAATTATTTGGAGTTGGCTCGCGAGCCGGCTCGAACTCGGCTTGATCGAAATGTGTCAAAACCATTAACGAGTTGAGCCGAGCCATATAATAGGCGGCTCGGCTCGGCTCGTTAACACCCCTACCTACTCCCGTAATCACCAACTCCCATCATCATTACAAATGAAAATAAAATAGACTTATTTTATTTACTTTAATTATGGTATTAAGAAACTACTGTTAATTACTCTTCACCATGAGCTTCAAAAAGTATGATCAGTTATATCTCTTTGATGATTTCTTTGTAAAATGATTAAATGAAACCTCTCGGGTCAGTTATCAGGTACATTATAACTAAATCAACCTCTCTTACAGATATATTTTTCTCAAAGAACACTTCTCATGAAGTACGCTAAAAACAATATAGCACTCAGGTAACTATATGTATATATATTGTAACGAGAACAATATAGTATGTATGACAGGTTAATTTATAACAATGGAACTCGTTTTAATAATAGTAAGCAAAGAATCTTGTTAAAATGGTATAGACACGCTTAAAAAGGAGAAGCTATTTTGCATAGTTGCATTTGCACCCCAGTTTAATATATTAAACTCTGTGTTGAGCTCATATGTTTTAAGCAGAAGGAACACAGCGATGATAAAAAACATACCTCATAACCACAAATCAAATGAGTTTCAACAATATGATCTAATCTTTATATCCCTTAACGTCAATATCAACTTTACCTAGGTTTCCTTTATTAATCAATATCAATTTATAACCAAAGAATTACCTCTATATTCATGTGGGTCCTTAGTCCTAAAATGGTTTCCATGTCATGGCTGATGTATTAGTTATTTCAACTTCATTCCGAACCAGTCTCTCAAATGGGAAAATCTTTCCTTCACTGTTATTTGCCATCAAAATTTCAAGTCAGTTTCGTTGCGCCTACCACCATTTCTCTCACAATAAAAATATTAAACACTACGATACATATGCCAACTTTCCAATGCTTTCATCTCTACAAATATAATATACTTACTTTCTTGCCACTTATTCTTAAGGTTGCTTCCTCGCAACACTCTAGCTCTGGGTGGTTTTAGCCAGCTTTTGTTGAACTAATATTAATGTGATATGGGTGGTTCCTTTCCAGCTTCGGGCCGGGACCAGAGCGCTTAACTTATTTGAACAATTTGGTGGCAGCCCTTGTAGTCATATTCACATACGGTGGGACTATCTCATCATGATGAAGAGATGCCTAACCTATGGTTAAGGTCTTCAGTGCAAAACCACCTAATCCAGTAACTTGTCAATTCAAAACTCATTTATCTTAACTAAACAGTTAGCAAAATTTTATTCCAAGTATACATTCAACTTCTTGGATTCAGATTAATAAACTTTCAACCTTCTCTTATTAGGTAAGTCATGAGGGTCAAACACCATTGATCAGGTTCCTGCTCGGTATACTGTAGCCAATATGTACAAAATCTGAAAATCAACTAAGAGCGATCAATCAAATGTTTTCTCTTTATGCTTATCTGTACTATATATGCTTTATTTATTAAAGTCTTCATTAGAGAATAACGGCTTAATAAATAAATAAATAAACCATGTAGAAGAATAGTGATGAAACTTTGAATTCAACTACGGACAACCTTTGACTGTTTGACACTTAATTGAATCCAGTTAATCAGTTTCTGCAAATTAAGGAAGAAATGCAATATAATTAACTTGAATGGTCAAAGATGCATGAATTAAGTTTTGTACACATGCCCAAAACAAGTAATTATGAAAGTCTATAGAATATATCTAAAAACTAATCCTGGTAGAATGTATTCCACTTTCAACTTGTTTAATATATTTTATTTAAAGCAAATATCAAACTTGGAAAGGTCTACCAAACTTAGCTATTCTCATTATAAATACGACAAACCTCGTTCACTTTATGCACTACCACCTTATTCTGTTTTCTTCTTGTAATTGCTTGCTAGCTTTTCATTGCATTTGCTCTTTAATTTGTCCTACAATGGCTCTTAAATCCTTTCTGTTCTTTTTTGCAACTTTACTTCTTATCCAAACTCTGGCTGAGGCTGCAACATGCAGCGACTGTTTTGTCCAATCACGAGCAGCTTACTACCCAAATTCCGATGACAATGGAACAGATGGTAAATAGCATAGTAAAACAATAACTTAAATGAGTAATTTTTGATATTATAAATGCACAAATCTCATTGATATTTTTTGACGAAACTGCAGTTGGTGCTTGCGGGTATGGTTCATTCGGAGCAACAATTAATGGTGGAGATGTATCAGCTGCATCTGATCTCTACCGCAATGGTGTTGGCTGTGGTGCTTGCTATCAGGTATATTCCTGAACAACACATATTGGGATTTGTAAGCTTTCCAATATCATGGTTAACATGAAATTGATATTTACTATATATTTTTTACTTTGGTATTAATAGGTGAGGTGCAAGGACAGTTACTATTGCTCAGACAAAGGAGTAACCATAGTTATCACTGATTCAGGCTCGAGTGACCGTACGGACTTCATTCTAAGCAGGAGAGCCTTTGGTCGGATGGCTCAAACTTCTGATGCAGCAGCATCTATATTAAGACTTGGTGTTGTTGATATTGAATATAGACGGTGAGGTTCCAAATATATATTCTTACATTAAGTTGCTTATGAACTGAACATGTATGATAATGAGAAACTTGCAAAGATAATATTAAATAATATTTCTATATAGTTCTTGCTTCTAAGAGACAAACTAAAGGCATACCTCATGATGATGTCATGCACTAGCTAACTCATAAAGTTGGGGTTTGGTTGAACAGTGTTTCTTGCAGCTACCCGGGGAAGAATATAACTGTTAAGATCGATGAGAACAGCAGCTACCCTCATTATTTAGCTTTCTCGTTATGGTATCAACAAGGCAAAACGGATATCACTGCTGTGCAGCTATGTGAGGTACAAATTAACGATTTTTTTTATTATTATTCTGAACCTGCCATGCAGAAAGCTTAATTTCATACATTTAAAAAGAAGATATAACTCTAATACACGAAAAATATGTAATAAATCCAATCATGTCCTGCTACTATTACTAATGAAAAGGTTGTGAACTATGCAGACTCAAAACTTTGTTTGCAAGCTCTTGGATAGGAGTTATGGAGCAGTTTGGACAACAACCTCACCACCGAGTGGTCCCCTGTCTCTGAGGATGCTGTTTAGCGCCGATGACGGAGATGAGTCGTGGGTAGTTCCTGTAAACAATATACCCCAAGACTGGAAAGCTGGACAAACATATGACACAGGCGTCCAAGTCAATAACTAAGCGCCAAAATTCATACATATTTTTTCCTTCAAGAAGCTATATAAAATAAATCTCTGATACTTATTGATTTTCATTCATTTAACTAGATAAAGTCGTGAATGTAATGATTGTATTGTTGACTAATAAATTCCAGTTTTCTTATAAATACGTACTGGCAGTCATATTGGACGTTGACGTCTCCTTAGTGCTTACTTGTAAAAGTTGCCAACCGGCCATACGTCCAGTAAAAACCATTTGCTGCTTCAAATATATGGGATATAACTATGAATAGATTTAGATTACGGTATACGGCATTTAAATCAACTTAATCTGATGATAGTTAACTATATCTCTAATAATAACACTGATCTGAAAACGTATAAAATATATGTCTTATTGAATCCCATTTAATAATCTCGAATTACCTTGTTACTTTATACGGTAAATCTATAGCCACAGCCCACAGGTTCCAGTTTCACAATTGGATTATGCAGAAAGAATAAAATGATCTTGTCAACGTGTTGACTTGGTTAGCCCTCTCCAGCATAATTAGTGACAAACAGTTTAAAGCAGATGTTTTTGGCTTAAATACTACGTACTTGTACTTCCACTAAATTAATATTATTATATTTTGACAATGGAATTTAGTTTCGTATTAACTAAGTCCAAATTTCTGCTTTGATTTAAGAATGAGAACGAAAACATACCAGGTAAGAAAAAGACATAAATATACTTTTACGATAAGCCTTGGAATTATTGTATGAACAACGTCAGGAACCATTATCAAACAAATAAAACAAAAAGTATAACGACTAGAATTATTGTACACCTCCCATTGATTCTTTAGGGGATTTACTTTAGACTCCAGATGTACAAAACAAGAAAATATGCCGCACGCTGCGATAGCTTTATTTTGACTAATAGCGGTTGGATATTCAAACCTATCTACAAGGGCAAATTTGCTACTTAAATATGTCCATATGTTCACCATCTGGAGCTGATGCCCTTCTCATTCTGCTCCTTCTGAAGTCATAATTCTTTAACCATCCGTCAAGTTTCTGTAGAATCTAAAATCTAGCTTTGATACCATATGTTAAGAATCTTGCATTACAACATGGTAGAAGAACATCTCATTATACTAATTTATAAACGAATTAAGCACTTATAAGCCATACCGCCTGCAACCACACAGAAACTCTTCTAAGTTTGTATGTTTAATAGAAACAGGCCCTTCGTGTTTGTTGAATGATCTGCTGCCTGCTCTATATAAAGTACCCTGGTGTTAACACACATTATGGGCCGCCCAGCCGCTCATTCAGTGTCCCTCACACCCAATGTTGTGGTGTGTCTAACAAGTTCTGCATTGAGAACCTTGCTAATCTTTTTGGAAGCTGGTTGCAAATGTGCTTCAAGTTGGTTTCTGTGATTGGTGCGCAGGATTTCAAAAGACAAACAATTGCACGGTGCTGCAGTGCTCTTAGGTTCCTGCTTGCTATCTTGAAGACCCCAGACAATTTGTAGCCTTCTTGAAGGGGAAGAGGCGTTTTCGTGTTATTAACAGTTCTCTTCCCCAAATTTCATGTCAATAATGTACAAACAATATTGAGAACAAAGCTTCAATTTAAACAATTTGTGAATCACTGAACCCAAAGCAATTCAACCAGACAATTTCATCTGTGTACCTATTTCACCTAACATGGAGTATACGATAGTTCTCCTATGGGCAGAATTATTTGCCACAGTAGATTCAGAACCAAATTCTCCTAGGGGAACCAAGCTGAAGCCCACTGTCTTATGTAATCTCTTTTCCTTCATCAACCTTCTCACATTTTCTACATCATCCCATTTCCCTTCTGAGGCATATATGTTAGACAGCAACACATATGGGCCAACATCCTTTGGTTCCATTTCCATTAGATGCTTTGCCACAAGCTCTCCAAGTTCTGAATTTGAGTGGGTCCTACAAGAAGAAAGTAAAGCTCCCCACAAGGCTGGTCCTGCATCCATAGGCATCTTTCTAACTAGCTCTTCTGAATCTTTCATCAAACCAGCCCGGCCAAGAAGATCAACCATGCAACCATAGTGCTCCACCTTCGGTTCAATCTTGTAAACTCGTTGCATAAGATCAAAGTACCACCAACCCTCCAATACCATTCCTCCATGCGTACACGCTGACAAAACACAGACAAAAGTAGCATCATTGGGTGTTGAACCTCTCTTCTCCATCTCCGTGAACATATCTAAGGCTTTTTCTCCTTGCCCATGCATACCATATCCCACGATCATAGAGTTCCATGACACAACACTTTTCTCAGGCATCTCATTAAAAACATTACTAGCCAAATCCATAGCCCCACATTTTGCATACATTGTCAGCAGAGCAGTTGACAGTAACACATCAGGTTCAATTCTACTGTTTTTGATGTATGAATGAGTCCACATACCTTTATCAAGCGTCCCTAAATTTGCACATGCAGTCAAGACACTCACAAGAGACGCCTTATTTGGCCTAGCCTCCCCTCCTTCTATCATTCTATCAAAAAGTCTCAAACACTCGTTATAATCCTTACATCGGACATAAAGAGCCAACATTATATTCCAAGACACCACATTCCTCATAGCCATGCTGTCAAAAGAATCACGAGCTAATGTAACATTTCCTATTTTTGCATACCCATCAATCATACAATTCCAAGAAACAACATCCCTGAATGGCATCATATCAAACAACCATTTTGCTGTCCCCATATCCCCTATATCCACATAGCCTGATATCATCGAATTCCAAGTAAAAATATCCTTGTTAGGCAACAAATCAAACAGTTGACGTGCGCAACCAACCTCACCATTTTTCACATAACCATCAATCATCGAGTTCCAGCTCACCAGATCCCACACAGACCCATTATCAAACAGCCTCCTCGCATCCCAAATTTCCCCAGAAACCGAATACATATGAATCAAAGAATTCCTAACAAACAAATCCAACTCAAACCCAAATTTCACAGCCCGGGCGTGAGTCTTTTTACCTTCTCTCAAAGATCTAACCTCTGCACAAATCTTCCCTAACAACGGAAACGTATAATGGTTATGTTCAACGCATTTGGGCAGCATTTTCTCATGATAAAATCTTAAAGCACCAGACGGGTCATTCAAACTCAAAAAGCTTTTCATTATAGTATTACACAAAAAAGCATCAGGTTCTTCGAGACAATCAAAGAACACAACAGCAAGAGAAACTGAGCTTAAACAAGTACAAAGCTTTTTTAAGACCCGACTTGCGACAAAAGAGTCTTGAGAGAGGCCCGAGACTACGAGTTGTGCGTGGATTTGGTGAAAGTCTTTGATTCTTGTGCATGATTCTAGTTCTTGTAAAATGGGGTGGTTTACATGTTGGTTGTCTGTGACCGTGATTTGGGGTTTTGACCAGAGTATTGGTGGGGTTTGAGAGAGGTTTTTCTGGGCTTTAATGAATTTGTCAAGCGAGAGTGCTTCAGTTTTAGAGAATTTGAGCCTAATAGTCATTCTCTCTGTACTGGAATTTGGCGGGAATGAATGGGAGCTTTGAAGCAATGCGCGTTCCGTTGGACTGAATATCCTGGGCCAATATAGTAAGGACAAAAATAGTCAAGAGAGGAATAACATATCAGAATTACTGTACATATTTTAACCTATGTTTTGTATTTATTGACAGATGACATACGTGGATTCTACTTGGATGGGGAGCGCAATGGTGGAAGCATTACGGATTCTCATTGTTGTCGACCGTAATAAGGAAACAAGACAAATGGACTCTATCATGAATGTTGCTTTACCATCAGAATTTTTTTTTTTTTTTTTTAAATTTACTACATAAATGAGTAGATGACTCTACTCTACTGTGTTGTTACTGTATTAGTGAAAAAGAAGTTGCTGAAAATGGACAATCAAATTGTGGGGGTATGATCATTGTTCCAAGTCTTTATGACTGTGGATATAGATTTTCGCTGCACCATGGAGTATCAGGAGAACCCAGTAATACAGAAACTATCTTCAGTTCTTTTAAATTTCTCATCTGTCCTAGCAATCCGTGGCAGACAAAACTTTTCACTTATATAATATCCATTACGTCCAGGAATTTTGCATAGCGTTCAAAGTAAATCGGAAAATAGAAAATAAGTATTACCGGAAATTAGATATTTATAGCATAATATTCATATATAGAATGAATTAACACTTACATGATGTCACAATGCAGCCTGATCAATAATTCAATATAGTGGGGATTATCATTGTTCAAGCATCAGACCAGTAGACATCAATTTCACCCCACTGGTTTCTGGGCACTCCCAAGGCCTTCCAAACAGCTTGAGAAGCATCAACAATGTTGTGACCACATGGAGGCTGGTAATCATTGTCCTTATCACAACCCATTGAAGAGTCACATTCGTCAACAACCATGGCCCGGACGCTCTTGCCACTACTGTAGATGTTGATATAGTTTAAGCAACGACTGCCTTTGTTGTACCACCCTGTTGAAAGTGCCACCACAGGTTTATCATTTGAATGGTATTGGTTGTCACATTCAGATGGTGCACCTCCATCCCCACCCTTCTCAAAGCTGTTGAGTGTCAAGGTTGCCTTTGTCCGGTTGGTCACTGCTGGTGAACATCTGTAAGTGGTGTAAAGTCTGCCTGGTACACAGCACAGAGAGTCGTTATCCTCAACGCATTGTCCTGGAGGAGGCTTTCTACCTCTTATCTTGCCACTCGGCGTGCAAGTCTGAGCCTCAACACTTATACAATTACTGAGAAGAAAAAGAAAGCAAAAAAGAAGAAAAACACTTCCACATACTTGATTCTTCATCTTCTTTTTGTTGGTTTAATTGAAAAACCTGAATGGTGAAACGCTTCATATAATGATCAGCAACTTGAAACCGACAGCTTCGACCCTTGGGAGCTTATCTTTCAAGAAACATAACACGACAAGAAAACAAACAACAAATGGACACCACACAGGTAAAAAGATCCAAGGGTTTGATTATTAGTTTCATGTTATGCCGGCCTCAATTTTGTAGTTATTATGAATTACCTTGGCCTTTTGCCTATTTTCGCTGCCTTGACCTCACATTCGTCCGAGCGGGTGAATGAGACGGCAAGTTCACAATTTTGCAACGTTGATTGTTACCGTCTAAACAACTGATAAAATAATCAACTCAGCACTATACAGTGCTTCTGATAACTGATAGTCAATAAACAAAGAATACAACAGAATTAGATTTGATCATACATAAATAATAATAAAATATGTATCACAAAAATTTCAAAATTCTATGTCAATAATTAGTCCACCACTTCATCAACCTTTCTTATCATCATCCCACAACTGTTTTCGTCGGATCTTCATCATCTTCATCGGATTTTAACGTGAGTTATTGAGTTTCTTCAAAGTCTATAAATACTTTAGAAGTAAGTGTTGTTTTGGTTTTGTTCTTCGATTTGGTAGCTTGTGAACCCCTCTGTGATTGACAAAAGTGAACGATGTCAATGAATTTGAGTTGTTTTTTGTGAATTCTTGTCTGTAACAGGGGGTTTTTTCTGGTGAAAGAATTCAAGGAAGAGCAGACTATTTACAGTTGTAGTTAGGGGTGTTCAGTTTCGAGTACCCTACACTTTTAGAAGGAACCAGAGCCAGAACCGGAACCGATGGTTCCTTGAATTTTGGAACTGGACCAGAACCGACAGTTCCGTTCCTAGATACCTAGACCCAAAACTTGTAACAACGGTTCCGGTTCGGGTACTGTAATTCATTATATCCCCCCCCCCCCCAAGTTTTTAAAATGCAAAAAAATCTTAAAAACTTACAATCCCCCGCACTTGGCACTTATTAACAAAATTAAATTATAATTTCAAACTCTAAAATTAAAATAATCCATTGAAAATCACAAATTCAAAATTAAAATATTACAAAATATCGTTGAAAATCACAATTCAAATTATAAACTCCAAAACTAATGTGAAATTACATAACATATAAATTAGTAACATCAAACAATCAAATCAATATGAAAAACTAAAAATATCTCTGCTATGCCTAAATTGCTCACCTCATGTGCATTAATTTCTACAAAACAAATACAAGAAAATTAATTAGTAAGTTCAAATATTGAACAAAATAATTTGGGAATAAATTAACCAAATATGAATATAAATATTGATATTATTTGTTACCGAGTCATAACTTTTTGCTCCATCAATAATCCTCAAGGGAACTTCAAATTAAATCTAACTCTCCCAATAAGGCAGTATTAAATAACTCTTCCCAAAATTAAATCTTAACTCTTCCATGGTCTTAAACAAAAAGACCAAACCTGGAGCAAATGTAAAACAGGTTGTTGTTGATATTCCTTTCGCTCCCCCAATACATATGTTAAAAGAGCTGCAGTTTCTCCACCCAATGAATGTCCAACAATCATATATCCACAAAAGTTAATCCAATATTATTCACTGGCAATCAAATCACATCAAATGTTAAAATAAGATTTTTGAAGCATGATTATATTTTTGTACAAAAACCCAACTGATGAATATAGAGATATTGGTTTTTGCGCACACACAGAGAGATGCTAGAAATCAACAACCACTTTTCACGAATCATTGAGGGAATTTCTATGTAAAAGTGTGCAACGGAAACTATTTAGAATTCAAATTAAGCAAAAATTAAGTTACTCTAGATCTTAGATCAAGTTAAAATTCAAAATAAAATTAAAAGAAAGAAATGGAATTACCTTAAGAATTGGAGTGCTTTAGTGTCTTCTTCTAGATTCCAAGGATCACGTTTCACAAAACCAAGCAAATTAGAAGAAAAAAGTTGAAGTTTTTGCCTTAATCTGAAGTGAGTGGACAGAGAGCAAGAGTAGATGAAGATCGTGAGAAGGGAAGAAAGAAATGTTTTTTTTGCAAAGAAAAAAAGCTGAAGTTTTTTACCTTAATCTGAAGTGAGTGGACGAGAGCGTAAGAGCAGATGAAGATCGTGAGAAGGAAGAAAAAATGATTTTTTTTGCCCTAATCTGAAGTTTTATATATGTGCGCAGGTAATTTATAACCCCCCCACCTTTAATAACATTTCATTTCATTCTCGGTTCTCGATTCTGGTTCTTGACTATAGGAATCAATCTAAACCGACAGTGTCGGTTCCAGATTTTTGGAACCAGAACCTACTCGTTGACGATCGGTTCTAGGTAGGAACCAGAACCAAACACTGGTACCCCGGTTCTTGTTTCGAACAGTTCTTATGAACACCTCTATTGTGGTGGTTGACTGTGGTGGTGTTGCTGTGAAACCCATACAAGGTTATGTTTGTGTACTATCTGTGAAAAGCAGTCTGCCGTGTATGGGTCTATTTCACTGTTTGTTTAAATTGCTTTACTGAATTGCTATTGTTTGTGATTGTGGTTGTGTTGTGGACTTGTGGGACAAAATTGAAATTGCAAAGGAGTTTTTTAATGGTTGTTAATTTATAAATTTGGTTTGTGGGAATGGGTTTTGCATTTGGTGGTGGGGATTGGCCGCACTGGGCAATTTATAATTTTTGTTTGTAGGAATGTGGTTTTGCATTTGGTGGTGGGGACTGGCAATTTATAAATTTGTTTGTGGGAAGTGGTTCTGCATTTGGTGGTGGGGATTGGGCTTTGTTATATATTAATTGCAAAAGGGTAAGGGCATGATCTTCATTATGTCCTATCTCTCTCAGCCAAATAAGTATTACACATATGTCAGCTCATTTTACCAGTTTTGGAAGTGTTGAGCCAGACCATGCTTCATACATATTCAAGTTGCAAAATAATAATGTCACTGATAATGCAACTCCTCCAACTAGTCCAATGGAGAGGGAACTGAAAAATTCTAGGATACTAAATAAAAATTCTAGGATACATAATATTAATACTAAAATTCTTACTTTTTTATCTCATGGAGAGGGAAACTATATAATCTCATATATTGAAAAACCCAAATGAAAATAGATTTGGGGAAAAGATTAAAAAAACCCAACTCAGTTAACTTGAAAATATCTCCAAATTGACTGTTTGGGTTGCCTTTATACTCAAAGATATAAGAATTAATTCTCTATCAAAGCAGAAACAGTTTGGTAAAATAAATGAGCATAGACTATATTCTAAATTGTATTAAAGACATTATGATTAATGTATCAATAAATAGGCATAGACATAATTCTACATAGTCATTTAAAGAATATGGTTTGATAATATGAGCTTTAATTCTTCAACCACATTCTGATTAAAGAATAAATGAATGTTAGGATGTATTGTGACAATTAATATTGGTGTGCAATGTATAATGTATTGTTTGATGTGTGTGCAATGTAATATGTTGACTTATTTCATATTGTTTTGCTTAAATTGCTGTTTTTTTTTTTTCCATTTATAGGTTTGTAAATGGAGGGTAATTCCTCAAGTACCCCTACAATAAAAGTAAAATTACCAATACACCTGGCGTAACCTTAACTTGAATGCAACCACAATAAATATACAGCAAAGTATTAGTAGCCCAGATAATGGTGGAAAATCAAAATCCAATTCAGAAGCAAAAAGAGCGAAGACATCAGGTATGGACGGTTCAAGGAGGTGTACTCCTTAATGGTACCAAAAGGCTAAGTTATCCATTGCAAGTCAAGTTGTGTATTAATGCCACGGAAGCACCACCCATTCAATAGACATTTAGCCGGTGTTTAAGGAGAAATCTTCCATGAGGCAACAACATATTAGTTTTTGAGTGCCGGCAATGATGTTACAACTACTATTTTCAGCTTTAAGTGGGAAGTTTGACATGTCGAAAATGAGGAATTGATGCCCATTGGGTGCTCATGCATGAGCATCCATTACAGTTGTGGAAGAGCTTGAACAATATGATGATTAGGGATTCCTGGATAACTCTGGTTTCCCGCCATACTTGTAAAAAGGATTGTATGAAGGTATATGAAGTGAGAAGGCCAAATTGAAGACTTTATTGAGAGTGTGAAAAAAAATCAGTTTGACTACAGACTTATGGAATTCAGGAATCAAAAATGGAGTATATGGTGTTGACCGGGCATTGGATAGAGTACTTGGAGGCTGAATAGACGTATCCTCAACTTTGTTCGTCTACCTCTTCCGTCTGGTATTGCGATTGCGAACCATTTTCAAGTGCCTATGGGATGGGGAATTGAAAATAAGTATATACATTTTTGTGGATAATGTTTTAGTAATGATGTTGCGATTAAGTTTTGAAGGAAAATTTGAAGTTTCGGGAAACTCCTTTGGGAGGTAAACTGTTTCATGTGAGATGTTGCGCACACATCTTGACCTGATTGTTCAAGATGAACTTCATCAATTAGGCACATCATTGACGACATCTATGAGAGTGTGTTGTATATCAACAGTTCAGAAAGCAGGCTGAAGGTATTTTCTGAGATTGTTAACACACTAAATTGCCTATGGAAACTTATTCTCCATTGTAATACAAGGTGGAATCTATCTATAAATGTTGGCAAGACAATTAAGTTCAAAAAGTTTTTCCAAGATTGAAAGGAGGGATATCAATTATCATAATAATCCGAGTGCCGAGGATTGGAGAAAGTGGAGAAAGTCTGCGAAATTTTAAAAGTATTCGTGGTTCAACCAAACTCATTTCAGAAGTGATTATCCACGTCTAATTTATTCTTGAAGGAGGTGTGTCGGTGAAATGTATGTTGGTAGTAAAAGTGAATCTGAAGATGATTTTTATAGTAATGGTTAGAAAATGAACACAAGTTTGATAAATATTGGGGAGTAATGTGTTGATGTCTGTGGCTGTTATTGGATCTGCTGAAAATGAGGGTTATTCAGTGGCCATTCCCTAAGATGTATTATGAGGCAAAGGACAGGCAAATATGATGGTCCGGTATTGTATGAGTTATATGGAGATGATGTTCAAGCTAATCAAGGTGTGACTATCCCGTGCTCTACATCACAAGGTGGACATGGAGCCATTGGTGAGGGCTGCGGTTGGGGAGCCGAGGCCTGGTGATTTTACACTTTCTGGATGTTTGAAATGTTGAGCCTAGTAATCTGAGTTGGACTGTTATTTGAAAGGGAGCCATAAGTGTGTGGGGATCATGCCTCATTCGTTCCTTACAGTGGTGGAAGGCAAATTCAACCAAGTTTCTTATATGTCTCGATGGCTCGTGAGATACC